CACCTCCAGGGCCGCGTCGCACAGCTCGTCAAGCTGCCGCGGCTTGACGACGCAGAAGGACACCCCCGAGCCCTTCTTGAAGGTCCGGAGGACCTTCCGGAGCTCATCGACCGACGGCCGAGGCGGCCGCTCTCCAAGGTCCGGCGGCCATCGCAAGGCATCCGGCTTGCACGAAGTCCTCCACCAGCGGCTCCACTCCTGCTCCAGCTGCTGGATCTCCTGGCCAAGGTCGGCGGGCGCGTGCCACTGGGTGGCTGCGCTGCCAGCCTGGCCGCCCTCGGCGGCGAGCTCGTCCACCTCTTCGACGTCGGGGCTGACGTGCATGCCCATCGGCACCTTGGACACAGCATGAAGCCCGCCACCGCCGCCTGCGGCCTGCACGGCAATCCAGTCGGCGAAGCGTTTGGCCCGCTCGTCCATGTCCTTGGCAGCGAGCCGCTGCGACTCCAAGTGGACGGCCTTCGCCATGGCGCTCAGTTGCGCCAGTTCCAGCCGATGCAGCGGACACGGAGCCACATGCTGGCGTCCAAGGCAGGCCCCGGGCACTCCACCCCACGACGGACGACAGGCGCAGAGCGCACAACGTCACCCTGGGCTGCCTCTTTCACCAGCTTGGGCGCCTTCCCGAGCAGCCCGCGAACACCTCGTAGAGCACGCAATCGCTCCAGCGGCCGGTCCTCACAGGAACCAGCGACCCGAAGAAGCTCACCCAGTCGATGCAACCACGTCGCCTCCATGGACACGCGGGGCCAGCGTGCAGCGCGCGGCGGCAGGCGACGCATCCAGCGCTGCACGGGCTGATGACCACGGCCAGTGTGCTTGCCGCGATCCTCCTCCACCTGGTAGATGTCAACCCACTCGTGCTCCGCCTGCTGCAGGAACCACTGCCAGGCCTGAGTGATGGGCTCGCTCGGCGTGCCTGCATCCCCTGATGCATCCCCTCCGCCATCGTGCTCTGGCAGGGCCGCAGGCGACTCCGGCGCGAGCCGCCCGTCGCGCCCTCCCGCGCCATGCGGCCCTGACCGACCCGAGCCGGCCAACCCCAGCAGCAATTGCACGTTGGATGACGTGGTGGCCCATCTCAACGTGTGATCCTCGGACCAACAGCCCATGGGCCTGTCGACAGGGAACAGCTTCGGCAGCTCCAGCACGCGAATCCATGGCCTCTCACGCTGGCCTTCTAGAGTAAGCAGCACAGGCCGGTGAGGAGACACAGGAGACGACGTGATGACCTCCACCCCACAGAGCTTGATAGCCCGAGCCACCAAGAACATATCAATGGACCGCTCGGACTGCACGCAGGTGGCCTCCAGCGTGGTCACGCACTCCGCGTCGAACCAATTGAGAATGCCGAACTGCTCCAGCTCAGCCTTCGTTACGTTAAAGTCTCCGCCCACCACGTACGGCATGCCGTGCTCACGCAGCCGGATGGCCAGCATCCGAAGGGCCTCGTAATTGCCACGATTGACCCCGACGCCCGACTCCAGGTACACATTCGCAAGGATGATTGATGCCTCCGCGCACAAGGCAGCTGCAGTGCATGATCGACACGCGGCCCTCGATGAGGATGGCTGGGCGTCCGCCCAACATGGGCGCCAAGCCGTGCTCCTCCTTGACCATGGTCACCAGCCCGCCGGTGGCCAATCCGCCCGCAAGGGACGGCACAGCTGGCGCAGCATACGCCCGCCAGCCTCTCTTGCCGAGGTCACTCTCGGCGTCAGGAGAACGAGCTGCACACAACCTCGTCTCCTGGAACAGCACCGCATCGCAGGCGGTGATTTCCTCGATCATGCACTTGTCGACGTTGCTGAACGTGTTCATGTTGAGAGTGCCAAGCTTCCAGCGCGTGGGGCTACCCACACCGCTGCTTCTTGGCCAATTCCCTCTTTGCGAGAAGCTCGGTCTGCAGCTGCTCCACCCACTTCCGCTTGTCGGCGTCGCCTTTGCAGAAGTCGTCGTTGAAGGAGCTCCAGAAGCTCGAGTCCTGCAAGGGGTCTTGCATCTCGATGTCGTCAGCAGCCTCAGCAGCGGGAGGTGGCTTGCCCTGGCCACCCTCACCAGGGCCTCCAGCATGGCCTGCGACGGCGGCGACTTCGGCGGCAGGCTCAGGGCCGGCCGCGGTAGCCGCGGCAGGAGCTGCCGCTGCCAGGATCTTGGCGCCGTCCGCAGCGATCTGCGCGAGGAGCTCGCCCAACGGCCCCGTTGCTGCGCCGTCGCCCAGCTGGGCGGAGACCTTCTTCGCCATGCTGACGTACCTGCCGAGCGAAGGCGCTGCCGCAACGGCCTCCGAAGCTGCAGGCGCAGACGCAACCGCAGGCTCGGCCCTCGCCTCCTCGACTGCAGCTTTCGCCTTCTTGACCGCCTCGTCGAGCTCGAGGCGGAGGAGGCGCACCTTCTTCTCCTGCTCCGCCACCGCCTCCAATGCCTGCTCGGCCGCGGCGCGCCGCCGGAACAGGAGGTCCGTAGCCTTGTCCAGCTGGGGGGCCTTCTCGTCGGCCTGCACCTGGACCAGCTTGACCGCCTTGACCTGCGACAGCTCGCCCAGCGCGGACTTCGCGAGGAAGCGCGCTTGGCGAAGCTGCTGCCGCTCGGAAGGATCCAGCAGCGCAGCCATGCTGTCGAAGGTGGCGTCGTCCATGCCCATGTACACCGCACGCTGCTCCTCGGCCAGAGGAGGGCGCTGCTGCGACCCGCCGCCGCGCCCGCCCGTGCCCTTGCCGAGGTCGCCGTTGCCATTGCCACCTCCGCCTCCGCGCTTGTCCTTCTGATCCTTCCGGCCTGCGGCTCCAGGCCCATTGACCCACACGGCACCAGGAGGGAGGCGAGAAGCACCAGCAGGATGCGGACGTGGGTTCCGCGTATCGGGACGACACCCGAAGCAGCCGGCCTGGCGGCACTTCTGGCGGGCCCCGAAGTTATAGTAGTTGCACCAAGCACAGTTCCAGCCATCCCCAGCCGCTGCACGCCCCGCTGCCATGCCGCGCGCGCGCCCGACGGCCCACTGAGAACTGTCCTCGGATCAGAGGTCTCCCTTTTGCCTGGAGGCTGGACAGCCTCCCAGGTAAGCATCTTGAGCCAAAATGGCTACGGAGGAGGAGGAGGAGGAGGAGGAGGAGGAGGCAGGAGCGAGGAGGAGAAGGAGGAGAAAACGCACCTAATGTGAATCCAAAGTAAAAAGGAACGAGGAGAAGGAGGGAGGAGGAGGGGAAGGAAGAAGGGGGAGGAGCCCAGCCCGAGGGCACCGATTTACCCTCCAATTTCTGTATGGAGGGATAAGCTTTCAGAAGTAATAAAACAAGAATATGGAAACGTTGTTTCGACTATTCCTGACCATTTCCGACTCTTTGTTGGGGGGTCCTGTAGGAGAGCATGCCCGACCTGATTCCAGTGTTGGGGGGTGTCGGGGAACATGGGGAAAGACGCATACGAAGCCCGTACCCCCCCAACCCGAAATTCGGGTGTTCGGGTTGGGTTGGAGTGGTCTGGTAGGTAGTCTGAAAAAGGTTGCAACAAGCGTTGGGGAACCACCTTGCCAGACCCCCCTCCGCCCCCCGGGCATTCGCGGAGGAGCGAGGCTGGGGAAGACTTTGAGCCCACCAATCTCGAAGGTAAACATGGGAAATGACGCATACGAAACCCGTACCCTTCCGCCCCCCAACCCGAAATTCGGGTCTTCAGGTTGGGTTGGGCTGGCCTGGCGGGTAGTCGCGGGCGTCGCGCGGGAAGACCAGGAGCATGGTCCAGCGCTTGCTGTCCGCAGTCTCTTGGGGTGGATGGGGGGTGGAGGGGGTTCGACGCTCGAGAAACTCCTCGTCGGCACGGCCGGATCCGCCTCGAAATGCGATCCAACGGTTGCTTCTTGAGCCCCAGAGCCCACACCTCCGACGCCGTGACACGAAATCTGCCGTTACTTTTGTGGTCTGGGCCACTCGGGGCGCTCACGGGTGCCTTGGGGCCCGCCGCCCAGAGACGCACGCGGTCGAGAGCGATCGGTGGCCCGCGTATCAAAAGAGAGCACGCCGGCTTGGGCTGGGAAGGCGGGTCCCGCTCCTAAGGTCACCACCCACCAAACCAGCCCTAACCCAACCCGAAGGCCTCAATTTACCCTCCATTTCCAGTGGGGGGGGGGTCGGGGAGCATTGAAAAAACACATATTGAACCCGTTCCCCCCCCACCCCGTAATTCGGGTCTTCGGGTTGGGTCGGGGTGGTCTGATAGGTAGTCATAAGGATCTCTCGAGGACCAGGGCGCCTGTCACCGGACGGCCCTGGGAGCCCACCCCCGTCCTGCACCCTCAGGGCGCCCGTGGCCTTCTCTCGTCGGGCCGGCCGGGGGATGCCCTCGAGAGGCCGAGGGGAAGCGGTGGGCCGGAGGGGGCGTTGGGCAGCTCGCGGGGGCGTGGAGGTTCCGGCTGGTAGCTTGCGAGGGGTCCCTTGCGCGCGGCCTCGAGTGATCGCCCCTCCACCCTTGCCTGCCTGCCTGCCTCCCCCCTCCCTCATTCCCTCCCTCCCTCCCCGCCGCCCACCCTCCCTCCCTCCCTCCCTCCCTGCCTCCCTCCCTCCCCCACCCCCACCCCCTCCTCCTCCTCCTCCTCCTCCTCCGCCTCCTCCTCCCCCCTGCTGTAGGATGACGGTTGAGAGATATCCCTGGGGGGGCGCAGCAGCGCCTTCGGCGCTGATTCATACATTAATTGTCCCCAGGCCAGCTCGTCGGCGTAATGTCTACCCAAGCATTTTACCTTTTTCACTTTGACGGCAGACCTTGAGATCCTGGCGTTGCAATGTTATTCACGGCGGGCGTTTTCGCTTAATCTCAGGCCCCGTGACCTTCACATATCGGTCCGGCGAAGATAGGGTCTGGGCTTCCAGTCGTGTTTTTGTTTGCGACGTTGTATTGTTCTGCAACGTCGGATCTCAGGGGAGGAATCTTTATCTACTCGTTCACCCCCGTGTTGTTGTCGATCGTCATCTTGCATTGCATCTCCGTCCCCTCCTCGCGAGGAGTTCGAGATGCGCGATCGCCGCGTGAGCTACGCGAGCTGCGCGAGCGAGACCACGGTCATCGACGCAGACACGGGCCTGCCTGTGGAGCAGGTCACCCAGGTTTGCCATCTGATTTTATTGTTCTCGAACACACACGGAGATCACAATCAACATAATGTATCGGAGGTCCGCACGGTTTTTGGGATGGGCGCTGCCCCCCCCCCCCTAGCGGCCCCTTTGGCGACACCTTCGCGCGCTCCGCACCAGGGAAGAGGGTCCATAGCCGACCCAAGAAATCCGCGCCAGCCTCAGCAGAAGTATCAGCATTATGTTTGATGTTCCTCTAGAATCGTTTGCTTTCCTTGTTCACTGGTCTCCAGCACGCGGTGTAGCCATGGTGGTAACTCTGACTATGCATGGCACCTCGCAGGTAGCCTGTCACGGGGACGCGCCTTCCATATTGGCTGAGTTTGGATTGCGCAGATCGTCATCATGAAGAGCTGACTACATTGTGTCCTCTGGTCAATGTACCGTTCTCGTGCTCCTCCTCGCCGTTCTCCTTGCCTTTGTCGCCGTCGCCGCCGTTACCATCGTCGTCTGCGTCGACGCTGTCGTCACACTTCTTTAGCCGGCGGTGTCATGATGCGCTTCTGTCGCCTAGAACCTCATGGACCAGATGGACAGCATGTCTTACGTCGTCGACGACTTTCGGGCATGCACTAGGCTGGCCGTGCACACTACCCGCTCATGCTTGCACCTGTTTTCGGGCGGTCTCGAGCAACCGCTCCTCACGTGTTGACATTGGCCGCGGGCCGGCCCCTTCGTTGCCACGGCCAGACCCTGCTCCAAAACAAGCATGGACATCGGGGTGTGGGAAGCATTGTGCCGCATCGATTCGTCTACATTGCGCGAGGAGAGGTGGCTTCACGGTGGAGATGGTCTGCTCCTGATGGGCAGCAGCAGTACATAGGTTGAGAAGATCAGCATCTGACGTTGCATCGCTTTTCGCCGCTGGATTCGAGGCCGTCCGCAGCCAAATATGGGCCCTGCCCCTCCCCCGAGTACATCTATAATCGGTCAAGGAGGGAGAATATTGAAACGCAGGTGACTGCCAAACCTGTGCACCCCCCAACGCCTGACTGGTGCTGCGGAAGAGCCGACCGCCTTCCTGGACAGCAACAGTTGCAGCATGCATCGCCATTGCCGAGCAGGCTTCGAAGCTCGATTTCGCGACGCGATCGTTGCCCCACCGTCGCACTTCCTCGCGTTTTCGTCGCCTTACTGACTCCTCTCGTGTCACGCTCGCGGCCGGTCCCGCGCACCATTCGCACAATCGCTCTGGTGCTTTCCCTGTTGGCACGTAGCCATGCGCCATGCTTTCTCTGGTTCCATGCCCCTTTGCGTATGACTTCCACCTTGAACGTCAGGGGATCCAATTAGCAGGGTGACTGGCTTCTAATCCTTCTGTCCCGTCTCCTTCCTTCTCCGCCTCATCGTTCTTCCCCGTTCCTTCCTCTTCCCCGGCCCCTTCCTCTTCCTCCTCCTTTTACTTACCCTGCTTACCATTCATCCTCAGACAGCCTACTGGATGAACACCTCGTTGCTAAGATCTGCCGATACGCCTGTTGTCCAATGTCACAATGTTGGTGCCCCGCCGCTTCATTGCAGCGTTGTCTCGCTTCTCCGTTGCCCCTGTTGCGAACAGGGGAAAATGCTGAAACACAGGAGGAGGTGGAGGAGCAGCAGCAGCAGCAGCAGTTGCAGCGTGCGAGAAAGAGCACAATAATCAGGCGGACGATGTCGAGGAGCAGGAGGATCGACTGCATAAGAAATATAACGAACGGTTGCATAACCCGCAGTTGCACAGGGAAGCATAATACGCGCATGCGATGATGAGGTGAAGGAACAGTTGGAGGACACGCATGGTGCAAGGTCGCAGCACGACCTGAATGAAGAACACGCGCGAGATGAGGGGGACATGATGAGGAACTGAGTTGGAGGCTCGGGAGGATGTAGCTGGTGACCAGGGGCGTAACCAGAATTGGCGGTGGGCCAGCATGCAGTTTTTCTTCATAGAGCTTGTTGATGTGAGCATGTCTGCTCTGCCTTCCGAAATAATGCGAAGCACCCCGCGATTGCGGATGAGAGTGGGGGGGGGGGGCAGACACGGGGTGGGTCGCGGGTGGGCCGCGGATCGGTCGCGGGTGGGTCGTGGGGTGGGTCGTGTGGGGGGGGGAAGACGACGACAACGACAATCAACAACCACAAGCTCTAACAAGCAAGCAGACTCGGGGCCGCGGAGTCCTACTTCACCCACGCACCCGGGCGTGGTGAAAGAAAGTTCGGCCCCCTCGTTCTGACCTGGGGGCACGCGTGAGGGGGCGCGGGTGGGTCGCGGCGCATGTGGGTCCAGACCCGCTTGCGACCCATCTCCGCCGCGACCCAACCCCGCCGCGACCCACCCGCGCCGACGATGCCAAGAACAATAGCAACAGCACCATTCACTTCTAGATTGTTCGCTATCGTATGGCCGCGTCTCATTCAGCATGTATCTCCCGCGCCCTCGATACCCGCTCTCTTCGTCTTCGACCGTGCCCCCACTTGTGAGGTATGTCATCCTTCTCTGCCGCGTGTGCTTGGCACAGGCTTTTGACCAGGACGAGCGGAGAAAAGAGATGTCAGCCAGCGCGGGCTCGACACAGTCTGTTCCTAGCAGTTTGTGATTTGCGACTGATGGAGTGCAGTCTATGTGGTGCACTACAGCTTCCGCAGTCTACGTGATGCAATATATGTCGTGCGACTTTTAAGGTGGATTCTGTGATCTGCAATATAGTTGTTGTGCAGTTGGTGTGGTGCAGCCTATGTGGTGCAATTCACTTTGACTGTCTTTGAAGCTGTCCTCTCCACTGCTCGTGCAACTATCCCACCCTCCCGCCCGCAACTTAGTCGCAAGACCTCCTAAGATCGTGACGGTAGGTAACACAACATGGCGCTTGGCAACGACACCGACGCCGACAGCGACAGCGACAGCGATAACGACGACGACGACGCCGATTCGACTACGACGGCACCGACGACGACTCCGACGACTTCGACGACGACGACGGCAACGACGACAACGACGACGACGACACCGACGACGCCGACGACGACGACGCCGACGACGCCGACGCCGACGACGACGACGACGCCGACGCCGACGACCCGACGACGACGACGCCGACGACGACGACGACGATGACGACTACGACGCGTACGAAGACGACGACGACGTCGCCAACGAAGATGATGACGACGAGGGAGGAGGGAGGACGACGACGGCGACAGCGACGAAGGAGGAGGGAGGACGGCGACAACGACGACGACGACGGCGACGGTGACGAAATAGAAAGGAAGACGACGAGACGCCGACGACGGACGACGACGAAGACGAGGGAGGAGGAAGGACGACCACGGCGACAGCGACGACGGAAACGACGACGACGCCAACGAGGACGACGACGACGACGACGACTAGGGAGGAAGGAGGACGGCGGCGACGACGACGACGACGCAAGAGCGCGCGCGCACGCTTTTGTTGAAAACCCGTGCTGCGAAACCATGTGTTTTGTATGTTTTTTTGGACACTCGATTTTGAAACCCTTCCCAGGACCTAAGGTGTTTGAAGGATTTCGGTATGCATGCGCGCGCGACGACGCGCGCGGGTGCACTTCGTCCCGTTTGTTGCAAAGGATTCTCGCGACGGCACGCGCGCAAGGGCGTTCGAACGAGGTCGACATGCGCGCGCGAAGCCCGTTTGGTAGAATTGCCTGAAGATATGGGAAAACCAACTGTTCTCTTTAGATGCTGCAAGAGCGCGCGTACGCTGTTTTAGAAAACCGGTGTTGCGAAACCCGGTGTTCTTGTATGTGTTTGACACTCTATTTTGAAATCTTTTCGAATCCCGAGGTTTTTGAAGGATTCCGCCATGCGCGCGCGACGACGCGCGCGTGTGGACTTTGTCCTATTGTTTGCAAGGGATTGTTGGAAACTTGTGATTTGTGATAAACGAGAGTGCGCTAGTGCGCTCATAGTATTTGTTGCAAAGGATGGCGGGGGGGATTGATACCAGTTTGGCTGGGGTAGTACGAGCTCATACCTAGGATGGGCGAGCGTGCAGAATACACACGACATAGCAAGACCCTAAGGAGGATCGTTAACTCCGGTGGGGGGTAGAGTCTATTCTTCTTCTGGAAAGGGGAATTCATGTGGTGCAACCAATGTTGTGCAACCCGCGTGGTACAACCCGTGTGGTGCAACCTATTTGGTGCAATCTGCGTGATGCAATCTACGTTGTGCAATCTGTGATATGCAATATGCGTGATGCTATCTATGTGGCGCAGTTGGTTTGCGCAAGCGAGTTGGCAAACCCCACGCTCTTGCAACCATCCCACCCACCCACCCGCACCTTCGCTTGCAAAAGCCATGGGGCGGCAATTGCGATGCTTGCGTGGCGTTGGCTGGTGCACCTCAACGGCCGCGCATGCCCGAGCATGCTCGCGCGCACGGCGGCCAGCTAGTTTGGCGCGACCGACGCGGCCGCTGTGGCGCTGGCCGCTGGGCATTTCCCAGCGGGCACCCCAATGCGATTCGCTGGTTTTGGGCAGGGCTGCTGTTGTTGCTGGGGGCGGCGCCAATGCTGAAGAGAGTAGGGCGATAGTCCAGCTTACAACATAACGAAGTCACGAGCGGGGACGCTGGTTTTGCTGGGACGGCGGATTTCGGCGGCGAGGAGGAACACCACCTTGAGTAAGAAAGGAGGAAGCATCGAGCGGGAACCGTGATTTTGTCGGGACGGGGGCTGTCGGCGGCGAGGAACAGCACCATCCCTAGGAAAAAGGGGGGAAGCCTCGAGCGGGAACGTTGTATTTGCTGGGATCGGCGCCAATTCAAAAGAGAGTTGGGCGCCAGCCCAGCGTAAAACGGAAGGAAGTCTCGGGCGGGTGCGCTGGTTTTGTCGGGGCGGCGGTTTTCGGCGGCAAGGGTGGGCATCGCCTTGTATTAAAAAAGGGAGGAAACCCAATGAACGGGAGCGTTGTTTTTGCTGGGGGCGGCGCCGATGAGAGAAAGACTAGCGCGCCAGTCCAAGGTAAAAATGGAGGAAGTCTCAAGCGGGAGCGCTGGTTTTGTCAGGGCGGCGGCTTTCGGCGGCGAGCAAGAACACCAGCTCTGAGTAAAAAAGGAGGAAGCCTCGAGCGGGAACGCTGTTGTTGTTGGGGGGCCGGTTTTGGCGGTCCCCCAAACCGCTCAAGCGTGAGCCTCATTTTCAATGAACAGGTAGCCGGCGCCTCGGCGAGAGCGCCAGGGCGCATTAAAGTAGTCCAACAGTAATAATTGTTTAGGCATTAGCACTCAACAACAACAACAACGACAACCACAACGACAACAATAACGCAATAAACATAACCCTCACCACGGATCCCCACTTCAGCCACGCACCCAGGGTCAATGAATGACCGTTCGGCCCCCTCATTCTTATGTACATATATACATATGTATGTACATACGTCCCGGAGTTGTTTGTTTTTACACGCGTATGTGTATATATACACATATATATACACATATATGTGTTCGGCACACTCGTTTTTGACGTCTCTGCGGTACCACAAGTGCTTGAATGATACCGGCGTGAGCTGGGGACGACGCCCGAGTGCGCACGCCATCCCATCTAATGCAAGGGATGTTTGCGACAGGACGCGCGCAAGGGCGTTCGAGCGATTTCAACGCGCTCGCGCGCCAGAGGCCCGCTTGGTAGCATGTTATGAACATGTTGCAATCATTGTTCTTTGGGGTTCGCAAGAGCGTGGGCGCAGGCTTTGTTTGTTTGGCTTCGTTGCGAAACCATGTCTTTATCATCTTTTCGGGACACTCGATTTTGGAATCCGTGCGAAACCGAACATTTGGAAACATTCTGGCATGCGCGTGCGGCGACGCGCGCGTGTGCAAAACTGCAGGTTTTCGATAAATGAGTGCGCGCGCATATAGTATTTGTGGCAGGGGATGGTACAAATTCATAGGGGCAGAATCGTATATGCATTGCAATACAGGCTCACAGGCCCGGACGACGGGCGGCGACAGAGCGGCGACGTGGCAGCGACGACGGGACACTGCTGCATACCGACTCCCAGGCCCCGACGACGAGCGGCGACGAGGCGGCGACGGGGCGACGATCGCGAGAACATGGCCGCCAGATCGCCCCAGAGTTCCAGTTCCTTAGAGAACGAGTGACAACCCCTAAGTGCAATCCCTGCTTCGGGAAAGTGGGAGGGAGCGAGGGGGAAGAGAATGGTGGAAGAGGGGCAAGAGGGATGTGGGGAGAAATTTGATGACGAGAGGGGTTAGCATGAGAAGTTAGCAAGAAGAGTTGGCAGGGAAGTCTCAGGCGAGAGAGCGATTCCCGTGTAAATTATGACGAACACCCGAGCGAGAGCGCGGTTCCAGGCAGGGGCTGCTGTTGTTGTCGGGGGCCGGCCACACAGTCTGAGGCCCCAGACTTTCCTTTGCAAACATGGGTGCGAGCCCGGGTAGGGGCATTTCAATTGAAATCGCACCAGAGAAAGCCCCAATCAGTGGATGCTTTGAGCATTTGGTTCGGGTGTGATCACGATCGTGAGATCGACAGTGAGTTCCATAGTGCGATCGGTAGTGAGATCGATCGTGAGATCGATCTCGCTCTATGGATCGATCGAACCCGGAACGGGGAAGCTGGGAACTCTGCGATCGGGAACGCGGAACCGGGAACCCGGGAACCAAGAACCCGGAATCGGGAATGCAGGGACCAGGAACCCGGGAACCCGGGAACCCAGCGGCCCACCTAAATCGGCCGTTTGCTTCCGCCAAATTTTTGAAAATCCGCTAGGACCCTTTCAGAGCAAGCGCTGATTGGGGAAAAACTCAGCAAGCACCAGAGGGGACGATCAACAATATTTCCCAATAAGTGCTTGCACTGAAGGGGTACCATATTGAAAGATTTGGCGAAAGTCCCGGCCGATTTCGGTAACCGGTTGGGTTTCCGGTTTCCCCCTTCCAGGTTCCTGGGTTCCCGGTTAATGGTCCTCGGCCGATTTCGGGATCCCACGATGAAGCTCACCATCTATCTCATGATCGATCCCACTATCTTTAAGTCGGGCATGTCCCTCTCCAGGAGGAGTATTCAAATATAGTCAAGCAATAATGCGGGGACGATTTATCTATTATGTTGTACATATGTTTGATCATTCCTTTGCAATGTTTCAATTTTCGCCCAAAGGTCCCCTGTAGGAAGACATCCCCGACCTACCACGATCTATCTCACTCAATCGATCTCCCCATCAATATCACCATCGATCACTATCGACCTCACTATGGGTCTCACTCAATCGACCTGACTCAATCAATCGACTTCCCCTGATTGGTAGTTTCCCGAGTGTCATATGTATACACACGCGTGTATACATATATGCATATCAACACACACATATATACATATATGAACATATGTATATCAGAAGGGCGAACTCGCCAACAGCACCACCGACAATCCGCACCGCGCAAACCCACACCAGCCACACAACCACGGACTGCGCAAGATCGTTCGGCGCCCTTCACCCTGACCTCCGTGGAGCCCGCCTCGCAACCGTGCTTGCCTTGGCCCACCCTTGGCGTGGGCCTCCTCCTCCTCCTCTTCCTCCTCGTCCTCCTCCTGCTGCTGCTGCTCCTCCTCCTCCTCCTGCTGCTGCTCCTCCTCCTCCTCCTCCTGCTGCTACTCCTTCTCCTCCTCCTCCTCCTGCTGCTGCTCCTCCTCCTCTTCCTCCTCCGCCTCCTCCTCCTCCTCCTCCTCTGCTGGACTCGGGAGATCCTTCGGCCCTGGTTTGCGTGCGGCTGTGCTGCACCGCCCCCGTCGGCCTCTCGGTGCCCTCCCAGGTGGGTGCGCACAGGGGGCGTTCCCTTTCCTGGGGGCCCCCGAACGGAGTGGTGACCACACCGTGTGGTGAGTCGGTGGGGATTCGGGGTCACCGCACGGTTTTGGGACGCGGGTCGTTTTCCGAGGACGTCTCAGGCGACTGGGGCATCCGAGGTCCCAAAACCGTGCGTTGACGGACCGTGCGGTGACGTCTTGGGGGATTTCGAGGTCACCGCACGGTCTGTCACCGCACCGCTTCGGGACGCCAAACTTTTCTGCTGGCCAGGCCTGTTCCGGGAATGTCCTCCACGCCGTTGAAGGCCAGGTTGTCGCGCCCTGGAGGAGTTTTGCCGACACCCGCCGGCCGAGTCTCTGCGCTGGTCATCCCACGCTGGTTACCCCACTGCCCTTCGCTTCGGTGGGCGGGGGGGGGCACCCACCAATTTCGCCACCGCCCCCAAGGGGCATACGCAGATCTCAGGAGCTGCATCCACAGCGTTGGCCGAAGGACCAAGGAAGGGGTCCCGAGGTTCCTCGGATCCGTCCTTTGGTTCCCGCCCCGACACGTTGGGGTTGTTTGGCTGCAATAAAGAGGTTCCCGACCCTCCGCCTCGCACGCCCCGTGCTCCTTGGGCATCCGGCCTCGCGTATGTGACGGATCAGGGCTACATGTTGCGGCCACCAGGCTCCAAGGGGCCCATCCAGGGTACGGTTCGATCCGATCGAGGCGACCAGATATCTGATCGGGCCAGACCAGTCCGATTCCATTCCGATGCTGAGTGCGGCCCGATGTTCAGGGCGCTGTCGTGCACCCTGGCGCACCTGGCCCGTTCCGATCGCGACACTTCGGATGCAGCTCGTGTGAGGTCGAATTCAGTGTCGGCGCTGGTGAATCCGTGGTCGAAGACTGGCCTAATCCAGCAAAGCTCCGTTTACTCCCAATAGATCCCGATCATTCTGGCCTGATCTGGGCTAAGCCAGCTTAGTGGCCCTTGGAGGAGGAGGCGGGAGGAGGGAGATTGAGAGGAGGGCCAGGAGGAGGCAGACCGTGGAAGGAGGAGGACTCTGGACGGTTTATGCGGAGGGAGGAAGGATTGGGGAGGAGACAGAGGAGGCGGAAGAGGGATGAAGGAGGAGGAGGAGGAGGAGGAGGAGGAGGAAGAGGCGGGAAGCAGGAGGAGGAGGCGGGAAGCAGGAGGAGGAGGAGCAAGAGGACGCAGGAGGCACAAGGAGCAGGAGGAGGAGGAGGAGGAGGAGGAGGAGCAGGAAGGAGCAGCAGGGGCAGGAGATGGGGACCCCCCCCCCTGGCGCAGTCGCCTGAGCGCCATGTCCCAGTCCACGCCGTCGCGCCAGCTGGAGCGAGCGGCGCGCCACCCGCCCGCGCGCGCGCAGGGTCGCGGGGCCAGGGCACGGGGGAGCTCCAGGCAGGCTCGCGTTCTGTAGGAATCCCGACGGTTTCCTCCCCTCCTCCTCCTGCTCCTCCTCCTCTTGCCTCCTCCTCCACTTGCCTTCTCCACCTCCTGCCTCCTCCTCCACCTCTTCCTTCTCCTCCTTCTCCTCCTCCTCCTCATCCTCTTGTCACCTTCTCCGGCCTCCTCCTCCTCCTCTTCCTCATCTTCCTCCTGCCTCCTCAGCTCGCTTCTTCCTGCTGCCTCCTCCTCATCCTTGCTCCTCCTTCTACCCTCCCTCCTCTGCCTCCTGCCTCCCTCTGTGAACTCTCAGAGCCTCAGGCAGCCATGCACGCGAATCTTGTAATACACACACATATATATACATACATACACATAAAAATATATGTAGATTGAGAGAGCTGTAGAATATGTAGAATGAGAAGGAGAGAGAGAGGGAACATATGTTTTGACAACAAAATAACATAAAGAAAATATTGATAGAGAGAGAGAGAGCGAGACAGAGACAGAGATAGAGGGGCGGCGGACTGGAGTTTTGACAAAATTGCAGCCGTGACTTGCGCAGGAGTGCCTGTATTTGATCGAGTCGTCAAGGCATTGAGCGGCCAGGTTCCAATCAGCATCCGTTGACCCGAGGCTGGGCCGGTGCTTAATACAGGATGTTCCCCGTACAGTGCTTGCACTAAGGGGTTCTTACTTGTCTTAACCATCTGGGGACCAGTCCCGGCTTTTCCTGGCGGTGCCGCCCGTCGCCGCCCTGTCGCCGCCTCGTTGACGCCCGTCGCCTGAGCCCCAGTCTTGGCTTTTCTGGGCAGTGCCGCCCGTCACCGCCCCGTCGCCGCCTCGTCGCCGCCCCGTCGCCGCATCGTCGCCACCCACATCGATTTTTTTTTTTTTTTTTTTTTTTTTTTTTTTCAAAAATTAGATTCTACTCCCATCATCCCCCCAGGGTTATCCGCCACGCGCTTCAATTGAAAATTCACGTATGATCGTGACCCTTCGTTCATTGACCCATGAATTATCATACCATCCCAGGCCAGCCAGTAGCGCCCCCCCTCAGCTCTGCACATGCGTTGATCTAGGATGAGCTTGTGGTGCGATTCCCCATCAAATAATACCATGCGGGCCACATGCGCGCGCGCAAGACGACATTATTCCAAAACCTTTGTTTTGGTAGCGATTTCATCACATTTTTATTCTACAAAAAACACTGGTTGTTTCACCGCACATTGTTCAATGGCTTACTCCCTCGCTAAAGCGGATTTCTACGGAACCCACTACTTCTTCAATACTCCTGTCAAAAAAGGCCTTCGCGCGCGCACGTCGAACTTGTTCCAACGCCCTGGCGCACTTGCCAGAGGCACGCGACTTGTCAAATGGTACCATGCGGGGCACATGCAGTGCCCTTGCGTCGATTTAAGATGTGGTTTCGATACGAATCCGCATTCAAATAATACCATGCGGTCCACATGCGCGCGTGCAAGACGAAATTCTTTCCAAGCCTTCGTGGTCCTAGCGTAAAAGACGTTAAGAACTAATCAGTTGTGCAACAACAAGTTTTCAAATTTCCACCCCGCGCGCTCTTGCGGGGAATCGGTTCCAGCATCGCTACTATCATCATCGTGTCTACCACTGTCGACGCTGCCATGATACCGCACCCGCCCAAGTCGCCGACTCGCACTGAAGTGCCCGCTGGGATGACCGAGCGGTCAGCGCCACCGCGTTCGCGTCGGTCGCGCCAAACTACCTGGCCGCTGCGCGCGCGAGCATGCGCGGGCTGGCGCGGCCGCAATGCAACAGCCAACACCAAGCACTCATCGCAATCGTTTCCGCATGGGGTTTGCTAACCAAGTTGCGGGTGTGTGGGTGGTGGGGTGTTTGCGCGAGCAGTGAAGCGGACAACTTCAAGTTGAGCGTTGGTGAATTGCACCACGCAGATTCACCTTTCCAAGAAGAGATCGGTTCTACCACCCTCCCCCTCCCAAGCTGATCCACTCACCGGGAACCGATGCAAAACAAACACCGAATCCGGACCCAATGTCCATCCTACCTGTGAACCCATAGTGGCCCAGCCAAACCGTTTTCGCCACCCCCCGCCATCTTCTGCAACAGAGACTGTGCGCGCCCATTCGTTTATCACAATTCGCAAGTTTTCACGAATCCCTTGCTAGAAACGGGACGAGGTGCACACGCGCACGTCGTCGCGCGCGCATGCCGACAGCCTTCAAAAGCTCTTGGTTTCGGGGGGATCTCATCATCGAGTGTCGAAAAACATATAAGTACAACACAAGGTTTCGCAACACACATTACAAACAATGCGCGCGCTCTAGAATACTACCAAACGGGCTTCGCACGCGCATGACGAAATCGTTCGATCGTCGCGCGCACATGCCGAAATCCTTCACAAGCCATCGGTTTCGGACGGATTGGAAAATCGAATGTAGAAAACACATGCAAAAAACAGAGCTTCGCAACATTGAGTTTCAGCAAAAGCGTACGCGCGCGCCTTTGCGGATTCTTGAGACAACCATGGGTTGTCCAACATTTTCATAACATTATACCAAATATGGGCTGCGCGCATGTCGACATAGTTCGTACGCCCTTGCGCGCGTGCTGGGGACACTCTCGCGCGTCTGCCGCGCGCGCATTTCGAATTCCTTCTAAAACCTTCATCACCGACGCGAATACGCCGTCATCGTCTTCGGCGTGATCGGCATCGGCGCCGTCACTGGCCGTGCCGTCGTCGCTGTCAGCATCGTCGCCAACATCGCTACTATCATCATCATCGTGTCTACAATTGTCGACGTTGCCATGTTACCGCGCCCGCTCAAGCCGCCGACTCGCACGGAAGTGCCCGCTGGGATTTGCCGAGCGGTCAGCACCTCCGCGGCCGCGATGGTCGCGCCAAACTACCTGTCCGCTGCGCGCGCGCATGCGCGGGCTGGTGCGGCCGCAGAGATGCACCAGCCAGCGCCAAGCCCTCATCGCAATCACCGTGACATTTGGTGTGCAAGCCAAATTGCGGGTGGATGGGTCGGATGTTTGCGCGGGCAGTGGAGTGGACAGTTGATTTCGAACAGAAACGATTTGCAATGCATACGTTGTACCGGGTAGATTCTTCTTTACTCAACAGTAATCGGTTCTACCACCACCACCACCCTCTGGACTTACGGGTTCCCGCTTCCATAATGAAATTTTCGCACGGTTCTGCCCCACCGCTCATCCTAAATATGAACTTGCCGTATCCCATGGGGGGCGATATCGCCCCCTCCCCCCGCCATCCTCGGCAAACAACACTATGCGCGCACACCTGTTCATAACAAATCATAAGTTTTCAAACATCCATTGCAACACGTAAGACGAAGAGCGCTCGCGCGTGTCGTCGCGCGCATGCCGGAATCCTTCAAACACCTTCGGTTTCGGACGGATTTCAAAATCGAGCTTCCCATGTACATGTAAAACCAGCATGGTTTCGCAACACGAGTTCTCAACACAAACATTCGCGCGCGATCTTGCGATTTTTCAAGAAATAACAGTAACTTTGTTTTAACAACTTCAGAACATGCTACCAAACGGGCTTCGCGCGTGCGCATTTCGAAATCGTTCGAACGCCATTGTGCGCGTGCCGTCGCGAGAACCATCTGCAAACATCGAAACGAAGTGCTCGCGCGCGCGCCGTGTCGCGCGTGCATGCTGGAATTCTTCCAAAAGCTTCGGTTCCAGACTGGTTTCGCAATCGAGTGTCCAGAGAATATATAAAAAAAAGAAACAAATACTTTCGCAACACGGGTTTTCAACACAGGCGTGCGCGCGTTTTTTTGAGATTTGTTTCTCAAAAAACCATGCGTTTCCAACTTTTCATAACATGCTATCAAACGGGTTTCGTTTGCGCGCATGCCGAAATCGTTTGAGCACCCTTGGGCGCGTGTTGGGGTGGCTCGATCCGTGTCACAAGATGAAATTCGAGACGCTACCGCGCGTCTGCCGCGCGCGCATTTCGAATTCCTTCCACAACTTTCATCTCCGACGCGACGACGCCGTCATCGTTTTCGGCACGATCAGCATCGGCGCCGTCACTGGCTGCCCCATCGTCGCTGTCAGCATCGTCGCCAGCATCGCTGCTATCAACATCGTGTCTACACTTGTCGACGTTGCCATGATACCGCGCCCACCCAAGTCGCCGACTGCCACTGAAGTGCCCACTGGGATACGCCGAGCGGTCAGCGCCACCGCGCTCGCGTCCGGCGCGCCAAGCTAGCTGGCCGATGCGCGCGCGAGCATGCGCGGTCTAGCGCGGCCGCAAAGATGCACCAGCCAACACCAAGCATTCATCGCAATAGTTTCTGCATGGGGTTTGCAAACCAGGTTGCGGGTGGGTGGGCGGGCTGTTTTTTTCGCGAGCATTGGAGTGGACATTACAAATTGAGTAGATTGCCTTACATAGGAAGCATCGCAAACATTGCACCACATCGATTGCACCGCGTACACTGCCAACACCTAGTGTTTGGAGCCCACGCTGGCAAGCATATGTATCACAAGGAACCGTACTGGCCTGCGTCCGTATGGCGTTTCTTGGGCTAGATTCGGTGATCGTCCCCTCTCTTCCTTTCTTCCCCCATCCTCCTGTTCCTGCTAGTCCTCACTATCGCACTGGACGCTGTGGTGACAGCCGGTGTCCATGTCCAGCGCCATTGTATTCACAATGGTTCAGGTGCCTTCGCCTCTTAGTCTGAATCCCGGTGGTGCAGTGGGGTAATGTCCGTTTGTATAAGCTGCCGATCGCAGGACAGCCCGTCTGCGTGGCTGGACGCTTCAATCCCAATCGTGTGCACAGCATGTCAGGCAGCTCTGTGGTTTCACGAATGCGTCGCCGAGAATGTCATGATGTTGCGCCCGCTCTTTTTCATCAAATATTTCGCAAGAAGTTGTCGCCGACAGCACATCCACGTCACACGCATCCCTACCAACTGGGAACGAACGCTCAGTTCCCAAAATGCGTGAGGCTGCATGCAGTAGGCGCATCAAACGTCTGTCTCCCCATGATCCCAGGCACACGCAGAGAAGCCCTGAGGGAGACCCCCGGCGATCGCCGACGAGTGTGCCTGCATGTGGGTGCTGCAGGTGGTGGCGCGCCAGGGCAGATGTGAAGACGCCTTCTGCCTGGGTCCCGGCAGTGCTGCGCGGAGGGCTCCCTGGAGCACACGCTCTGCCGGAGGCCCTCCGGAGGCCCGTTGCGTGCGCCCCACGCGCCCTGCCCAATGGGGCCCACCCCCGCTCTTCTCTGCCTGGCCTCCTAGGGAGCTGCGCGCCCCGTGCCCGCCACCCTGCCCGCCCGCCTGCTCGGGGGCGGCAGCACGGGCCTGCCTCGGACCCGAGCGCTCGCATGAAATCTCGACCCGCGAGGCTGCCGAGTGGCCGCCGCCGTGGTCGTCGTCGTGGTCGTCGTCGTCGTCGCCGCCGCCGCCACCGCCGCCGCCGCCGCCGTCGTCGTCGTCGTCTTCGTCGTCGTCATCATCCTCGTCGTCGTCGTCGTCGTGGTCCCGGTCGCCGGTGCCCCCGCTGACCCTTGCCCCTCGGGGCTCAAGAGGCGGGGTCAGTGCAAACGGGGGTCGGTCACAGCGCCGGATCTGGCGTCATCCTTCAGAGCCAGGGTTGCATTGACCCGGGCTTGGGTGCAGGATCCTGCAGGATCCTGCAGGACCTTGCAGGATCTTGCAGGGCCTGGCTGACTGGGGTCTGGAATGACCCAGGCCAGTGGACGCCTGAGCCTCGCTCGCCCGGCCTCCTGCACCTGGGCAACTGCGCATCCCAGCGCGTCCCGCTGGCGCTTCCCGCCGGGAGGGGCCTCCTCAGATCACCGACGATGGTGTCGTTCTTCGGTCCGGGCGTGTCTCTCAGATGTTTCTGCCCTCGAGGGCTGTCTTCAGGACCCGGGTGAGCAAAACTGCCCCCGGGGAGACGGTCGGGACACGCGGGGCCGCGGATGGAGACGCGCATCACAGCGGCGGCTGTCAGGGTTTCGCGCGCCGGGCCCCAAGACTTCAGTATGGCATGTCCCTCTATATGAGTTTTTTTCTTTTCAATATAGTCAAGGAATACTCAGGGACGATTTCCGACCATTTCTTTACAATGTTTGAACTGTTGTGGCTATTCTTGTCTTTTCGTTCCTCCAAAGTCCGCCCGACCTGACCCCCAGAAGGAGATTGCAAAGGTGCCTCCCAGCCCGCGCCGCCTGCCTCCTGCCCCCGCACCCCCCGCTCCGATGCCCTCTCCATGGCCTGGCGCCGCTGGGGCCCTGCCGGGCCGTGGTCCTCCTGGCAGACGTGCGTCGCACCGCGCGCTCGCCGGCCTCCCTGCACTTCCAGAGCAACCGCGGCCCCTCCTGCCCCCCCCCGCACTTCCAGCCTCGACCCTCGGCCAGCAGGTGGCCCTGCGGCGGAGTGGCCTCTGGTGCGGGTCCACGGGGTGGCCTCCCCAGCCATGGTCCTCGCGCTCGGCCGTGGCCCCCGCGCGGCCACGTGGAGCTTTTGGAGTGCCGGGCGCCAGAGGCCACCCTTGCGTTTGGCGTGGCTCTTCCTCCTCCTCCTCCTCCTCCTCCTCCTCCTACTCCTCCTCCTCCTCCTCCTCCTCCTCCTCCTCCTCCTCCTCCTCCTCCTCCTCCTTCCCCTCCTCCTCCTCCTCCTCCTCCCCCTCCTCCTCCTCCTCCTCCTCCTCCTCCTCCTCCTCCTTCTCCTCCTCCCCCACCTTTGGGGACGGTGTGCACCGAAGCAGCCCCGGCGGGGGGGCGGCGCGCACAGGGAGGATCCCTCGCAGGTCGGGGGCGGAAAAGAGGGGGGTGATGACCAGGGGGGGGGAGATATCGTGGCGGGGGCCATGATCTTTCCCCAGGTTTCAGGGCGCCTCTTCTTATTTCATTACGTCCCTGGCCCCCTCGCTGGGCCGCGCACATGCTGCCGGTCATGATTTGCACCCCCCCTCTTTGACACCCCCCTCTTCGCCGCTCCCGACTCGCAGGGGGAGCGCCCGTGCACGGAGGAAGGTTGGTCCAAGGGGGCAGCGTGCTCTTCGAAGATCGGTGCCGCACCACGCGACCTGCGCGACGCCAACCGTACTCCGCAGGGGCTCTCATTCGGGGAACGAGCAATGACATGAGCATAAACACTCGGAGGTCTGCGCGGATTCCTCGGATCGGCGCTGGACCCCCCTCTTTGGAGCGCGGAGCGCGCCAGGGGATGCGCCGGAGGCGCCGCCAGGGGGCTCCTGCGCCGATGCGAGGAATCCGCACGAACCTCCGAGTTTTTTCATTTGCATGCCTTCGTTCAGTCCTTGTGTTATTAGGCGGCGCGCCCAGGGGGGAAGTGAGAAGGGGCGGGCCTTCTCAGAAGGCTCGAAAGTTCCCCGGCCTTCTAAGAAGTTTCCTAAGCCTCCCCCGAAGGCGCAGAACACCTCTCAGAAGGCGCGAGGGCTTCTGAGAAGCCCCGCCACCTTCTGAGCAGGCCTCCTCCTCCCCCCCCCCTCGCTCGCAGCGCCACATCCTGCTCCTGCCGCTGTGTCTTGCTGCGTCCCTGTGGCAATGCCACTGCTGATGGCCACTGCTCAGTTCTCTGCCCCGCCGCGTGGCCGATCAGATGAGCTCGGCACGCCGCCGGCACCGCCGGCGGGCGCGCGGCCGCGGCCCCCCGCCGGCCTCCTCCTCCTCCTCCTCCTCCTCCTCCTCCTCCTCCTCCTCCTCCTCCTCCTCCTCCTCCTCCTCCTCCTCCTCCTCCTCCTCCTCCTCCTCCTCCCTCCTCCTCCTCCTCCTCCTCCTCCTCCTCCTCCTGCCTCCTCCTCCTCCCCCCCCCCCCCGCAGGCCACCGCGGCCACGCGCCTCTCCGTGGCCTCGGCCGAGCTGCGCACCCCGTCGGCGGCCGGGCGGGAGGCGAGCGGCGCGGAAGGCGCCCCCCCCAGGGAGGGAGGCCGTCGTCCCCATTAGGTCCAGCGCACTTGGGACAAACAACAAAATCAAGACAGAGGAGGAGGAGGAGGAGGAGGAGGAGGAGGAGGAGGAGGAGGAGGAGGAGGAGGAGGAGGAGGAGGAGGAGGAGAAGAGGAGGAGCAGGAGCAGGAGCAGGAGGAGGAGGATGGGGGTTTGGCGCTCATTTCGGCCCCTGGGGGCCCTCGCCAGGCCCCGGGACGGTCAGAGAACGACTCGGGGTGAAAAACCGGTCCTGGGGAATGGGTCAAGACTTCTGGGGACCGCGAATGGACAAAAATTACGGCATCGGATCTCTGGGCCTCTGGGCGCCCAGAGCGGGTACGGAAAAGTTGGGTACTTCTAGGCCTCTCAGATATCTGGTCGGAGCAGATGGTGTCGGAGGATCGCGCCGCATCGCCGATGCTTCGGCGATGCCTTTCGATGCGGAGCCCGATGCTCTCCACGCCGGCGTCGCTGATACACCACCGACGTCGGCGATGCCGCGCGATCCTCCGACCCCACCTACTCGGAACCCATCTAGGAGGCCTCTGGTACGATGCCCAACAAGTGAGCGATGAAAGACGAAGCGGGGTCGTCTGCGCTGACATTGGCGTGTGTAAGCTTCCGCGTGCGTAATGGCTCGCGTAAGCGCCACCTCGTTTCCAAAACAGCGTGTCGCTCTGGGCGCCCGCGTGAGCCACCGCGTAAGGTCGCTATGTCATCTTGCGTAAGTTTGTTTTTCAGAAAAAAAAAGCCGGTCAAGTGCTGTCAAAAACCGGCATCGGCCGATGTCGGACAGGCATTCTTGTTTGTCTCGGATCGGCAGCGTCCGTGGCGTCGCCGACGGCGATTGTCCAACATGAGCAGGGAATGCTGCTGGTCTGTGTAACCATTCTTTCTTTACCCATTTCGATTGTCTTGATCGTCGTCGCCTTCCTCGTGCTGCCTTCGAGGATCGAGGGCTGAGGGTTGCTGCTCGTGGGCTCAGGCCTCGCGTCGTGAAGAGTCCAATCACGAAGGGAGTTGTTGTTGCTGTTCTTGCCCTTTGGGGGCCCTCGCCGGGTTCCAGGACGGTCGAAAAACGACTCAGGATGAAAAGTCGATCCCAGGGAATGGGTCAAGACGTTGGGGTCCGGGTTGCGAACAAAAACGCTACCTCTGGGGTCTGGGCCGCCGCCTTCGAGGATCGATGGCTGAGGGTCACGAGTTCGTGTGATCATGTTTTTGGGGTGCCTTTGCCTCTGCGGGTGGGCTTCCAAGTGAGGAGGGAGGGCGTCCTCGTCGTCAGGGGGGATCCGCCTCGAAGTTTGGGTCGCAGCTGGCCCCGGTACCAGCCTTGGGAAGCGGTCATCGTCGCCCCGTCGTCGTGGAATGGGGAGCGATGGAGGATGGTTGGCACGAGCACGAGGCGGAGGAGACGGAGGAGGATCACGAGAAGGAGGAGAAGGAGGAGGAGGAGGGGCAGCAGGGAGGAGACGAGGAGGAGGAGGAGGAGGAGGCTGCGAAGTGACCAGTCGGAAGCATAGAAAATGGGGTAGAAGGAAACACTACGCAAGAAAAGGTTAGGATGGAGGGGAGGGCGAGGGGAGGGGCAGGGTGACGCGCACGAATACAGGATAGGGGGGAGGGGGAGATAGAGGGGAAGCAGCGGCAAAGGAAGCGGAGCGAGAGGAGCAGGAGGGGAATGAGCACGAAGCCCGTCAATCCCGAGCCGCGCCAGAACACCATTGCTGGGATTTCAGCCTTAGGAGCCTTGGAAGTTGAGCCAAACTTTTGAGACGACTGCGCGCGGAGAAAATGCGTGAACCACGGTTTGAGGTTGAGCCGCCCTGCATTCTCAAAGCTCTCGCAAACATTCAAGCCGACCGTGCGCGGCGCCAGAGCGGCAGCCACATCGTGAGAAGGACCTGTCCTCCATCGTTCGAAGCTGCTGCGAATTTTTAAGACGAATGCGCGCGGCGCGAATGCGAGAGCCACCTGCCAAACAGAACCCGCCGTCCATCCTTGAAGCTGCTGCAAGGTTTTAAGACGAATGTGTGCGGCGCGAGTGCGAGGGGCACATGTTGAAGAGGACTTGCCCTCCATGGTTGAAGCTGTTGTGCATTCCAAGCGTCAATCTCATAAGAACGTCTGTGGGTGAAAGTGAATGGAGGAGGAGGAGGAGGAGGAGGAGGAGGAGGAGGAGGAGGAGGAGGAGGAGGGAGGGAGGGAGGGAGGGAGGGAGGGAGGAGGAGGAGGAGAGGCGAGGAGGAGCATGGAGAGAGTGAGGAGCTGTGGAAGAGATGAGGAGGAGGAGGAGGAGGAGGAGGAGGAGGAGGAGGAGGAGGAGGGGAAAGATGAGGAGGAGGGGGAGGACAAGCAATGAGCTTGCAGCAAGGAGCGAGGAGGGGGACCAGGCACGCGCAAGGTGCATCCGCACCGCTGCCAGACTCACCCTTCGGGCACCGCCACGCCTGCCCCTCGATCGGGGCCGCGGCCACACTGTGCCCCACGTGGCTGCGCCGGAGTGGAGGAGGAGGAGGAGGAGAAGGAGGAGGAGGAGGAGGGAGGAGGGAGGGAGGAGGGGGAGGGAGGGAGGAGGGAGGGAGGGAGGGAGGAGGAGGAGGGAGGAGGAGGAGGAGGAGGAGGAGGAGGAGGAGGAGGAAGGAGGGGGAGGGAGGGAGGGAGGGAGGAGGGGGGGAGGGGGAGGAGTAGGGAGGGAGGGAGGGGAGAGGAGGAGGGAGGGAGACCAGGACCAGAGGGGAGCGAGCGGCCGGGGACGCCCGGCGCTCCTGCGGGCACGCTTCGGGGGCCCGAGGCAGACCTTTCGTGGTGCCGAGGTCCTGCCCTGGGCAGGTGTGTCGGGCGGGCGCTCCCCGGGCCCGTCCAGGGCCCCGGGGGCCTCACCATTCGGGGGTGGACAGACCTCCTACCCTGACACGTCGATTAAGGAATTGGCCGTTTTCGGTTCGCGAGAGGCGTCGCGGCCGTCATTCTTGCGGGTCCAGGTCCGTCGGTTTCGGTCCCAGGCCGTTTTCACTAAAGGGAGGTTTACTAAACGGAGGTTCATCCACCGCCGAACCACGGAGCCCGGGGCAGCTGCCGTGGGGGAGATGCTCCGGACTCTGGCTGCCCGGGGCGGAGTCCTTCGGCGAGCGAGCTCTGGCCCGTCTCGGGGGCGGCAGAGAGGGGGGTGATGCTTAGGGGGGGAGGATATCAAGGCGGGGGCCGTGATCTTTCCCCAGGTTTCAGGGCGCCTCTTCTTATTTCATTACGTCACTGGCCCCCCCCCGCTGGGCCGCGCACATGCCGCGGGTCATGATTATCACACACCCCTCTTGGACACCCCCCTCTTGGCCGCTCTTGCCTGTCTGGAGAAGGATGGCACAGCTGAGGCGCGGAGGTGAACACGGGCGAGACTCGGGCGCAGTGCCAGGCGATTTCCGCAACGTTCGGGGTGGTGGGTTCGGCGCCGTGGGGAGCCTGGGCGATCTCGGCCAGATCTGTGCCCCCCCCGCGCCAGAGGGTCCTGAAAGCCTTTGGTTGACCCAACAGGGGATCCAGCGAACAGGGGGTGGTGCAATAGATTTGGTGGAATAGATTTATGGGGTTGCAATAGATTTGGGGTGCGCTGTACATTCCAGTGTCCAAATGTCTTGTTGGATTTTTGCGTGCATTGCGTTAGCTGCAGTACAGTGCAACACAAATTTCTTGCGCAAAGCATTTGCAATACAATTGTCCTAAGTTTTTTGCACCACACCCGATCAGGTGGACCCCGTTGAGCCACGAGGAAGCCCTTGTGCTCCCCGCCTGCGCTGCCCCGAGCACCGCCGACGTCGCGCGTGTTCCCGAGAGTCGCTGCCCTGCGCTGCAGGAAGTGGCTGCCAATCGAAGCGCGGTCCGGAGAGTGAGCCATGGGATCCGGCCACCTGGCCCTCGCCAGGCGCGAGAGAGATTCGGGAGCGGGGGAGGGAGCCAAAAAGGAGGCGGGCCGAAGACGTGCCAGGAAGCTGGATACTCATGGCGTGGCCGGCCTGGGCGAGTGCTGGATGCACACGCGGCCACGTATCTTTCCAGCGTCCGTGCCCCGTTTGGCCAAGCACGGTGATCCTCAACATGTGTATCCGGCAAGCGGCCTCCGGATGTTCCACATCTGGATCCAGCCATGTATCTTTCCAGCTTCCTGGCGGGAAAATTCCAGGAGCCCTGTCGACCGGGACGAGTCTCCTCGGGAGGGGAACAGGTTATCACTTGCGTGCCGTCGTTAGGAGCCCGCCAGCGCTTTTTACTTCTCAGGGAGCACCCGTCTTCCATATAGATTTTGTCGCCCATGTCCCGCCGGAGAGGATGAGATCGGAGGGGCCAGAGAGGAGGAGGAGGAGGAGGAGGAGGAGGAGGAGGAGGAGGAGGAGGAGGGCGAGGGGGAGGGGGAGGAGGAGGAGGAGGAGGAGGAGGAGGAGGAGGAGGAGGAGGAGAAGGAGGAGTAGGGGGAGGAGAGGAGGAGGAGGAGAGGAGGAGGAGGAGGAGGAGAAGGAGGAGGGAGGAGGAGGAGAGGAGGAGGAGGAGGAGGGAGGAGGAGGAGGAGAGGAGGAGGAGGAGGGAGGAGGAGGAGGAGGAGGAGGAGGAGGAGGAGGAGGAGGAGGAGAGGGAGGAGGAGGAGAGGGAGGAGGAGAGGAGGAGGAGGAGGAGGAGGAGGAGGAGGAGGAAAAGGAGGAGGAGGAGGAGGAGAAGGAGGAGGAAGGGAGGCGGAGGAGGAGGAGGATTAAAAACAGGAGGAGGAGGAGGAGGAGGAGGAGGAAGAGGAGAAGGAGGTGCTCGGAGGAGTAGGAGGAGGAGGAGGAGGAGGTGGAGGAGGAGGAGGAGGAGGAGCTCGTCTCGCCGCGCTGCGGGTGAGCTGAGGAGCCGCAGACGTTGGGACCGAGCCGCCCTTTGCCAGGCGCGGCTCAAGGCGAAACGTTACACAGGTCCCAGCGCACGGCGACGTTCCGCGCCCTGAGATCCAGGCGTCGTTGGATGGCCAAGTCTACCTGCTTCTACAAGTCCAACATCTGGGGCTGATGCCAAATACCGTTCTCGCGTCCTAGCCAACAGCGTCTATGGATACATTGGGTGCGGTGACGTCCATAGAGGCTTTTCGGGGTGGATGCGTCCATACAGTACGTTCCTGTTCTAGAGCAGGTCCCACATGGTACTCAGATGTCGTCGCATGCTTTCACACTGGGCGTGTTTGTCATGTTTCGGGCAGCGGGTCCCCCACGGATCGATTTGGCTCGACGAAAGTTCATGCCAAGGGTTATGGGGTCTTGGGCTCCGGTGGTGCCTCCACGCGAGGCTGCAGTTTTCTTCGTAACGTCGGATCTCAGGGAGAAGCGTGGCAGCAGACGATTGGTGGTGTGCGCGAGTGTGCGTGAGCGCGCGCGGCTGGCGCCCTGGGCTTACGCGGCGGGCGAGCGTGAATGTTGGGCGTCGGCCGTTGGCCAGCGCGACTGGCAGCGGCACCGCGCCTCGAGGCTCGAGACGTGCCGCGCCTCGCTCGGCACGAGGATCGAGGGGCGACGCCCCGCAGACGAGGTCCGAGGATTCCCCCGGCCATCTGACCACGCCGGTGCCTAGGCCCCAGCGGGGCTCCTCGGCGCTCGCGCCTGGTTTTTTTGGCCCCGGCTTTTCCTTCCTGCCCGCCCGCGTGGGCAGACGTCGGCCGTCGCGTTCGCGTGGGGGGTCGCGCCGCGGGCTCGGAAAGCATGCGCCGCGCGGCGCCGGCGGGGCGAGCGCGGGGCGCCGAGGCGGGGTGCACTTTGTCCAGCAGTGGCGAGGCGTCCTGGCTCGCCCTGTTGGCCCAAGCAAGAGTGTTCTGAGAACCGTCTGTGGCCTGCACGAGGTGTTCTCGGAGCATTTCTGGCCGGGGCTGTCTTGTTTTGGCGCATCGGGCTTCCGTTCTAAGAACCTTGTTTTCGTTATTCGAACACATTCGGGGTCTAAAAACATGTCGTGGTAGGCCTTTAGGAATAACGGGACGGTCGGTCCCTACTCAACATTTTGTGATCGTTCTATCATTCGTTGTTTCGCCGATCGGCGCGGAAGCACTCTTCCCCTCCCCCCCCACCATGAAGCAGATCTTGGCTGTTTCTGGGTGCCTGTTTCAAGCAGTTGCTGTCTCTCCCCCAGAGGACGCACAGTTCCAAACAGTCGCATAGAGCAGAGGTCCGGAGCTAGACACCCCCACTCCCCCCCCCTCCGCCCCTTGTCGAAACGTAGAATAAGAAAACGCTCACTTTGCAATCCTGCCGATCAGCGTCGATATCGATTTTGGGCGGCCGGAGCCGATTCGCTTCTGATGTCCCGAAGATTCGAGGTAGCCCGAGCCTCGCAGAGTGCTGTTGTGCATCCTGGCGCAGCCAAGCAGCGTCGACTTCGGCTCCGTGCCGATGCGTGCAGGCCGATCAGACGCACATGTCACTTCGATCCGACTTTGCGTTCAGATGCTGGCTCATGCTGCCCAGGCTTCGAGAGGCCCCCGATCTTGCCGTCGAAATTGACGCGTTAGCCCGCCCGAAACGCCGATCACGGCACAGCATCCTCGAACATGGCGGAAGTCCGCCATCATTGCCGCCAGCGCCACTGTGTGTCCTTAAGCGAAATGGAGTGGCATGTTGTGGAGAAGAACAGGGGTCGTGAGAGTTAGCAAGAGCAAATAGAAGATGCGCGCCTGGAATCCGCAGGCCCTGCGGCTCCGTAAGGCCGAAAACAATTGCGCGAGCACGCGTGGGACCCGATATCGAAGAACATCTTCAGCAGTTGAAGCGTCGTGGTAAGGGTTGACCGAAGCTATCGGTGCCCAGGCGGGACCTTTGCTTGGCACCATGCGGCCAAGCTGCCAACATCAACCAAGTGGGGTGTTTTGCCGAACTAGTTGTTCTGTTTCTCTTGTACAGTCACCTTCGGAAAGGAAACCCACAAAAGCGAATGCTGCTGATTTGCGCGTCGACGTTTACCCAAGTCACTTAGAACCAGGGAGCATGTATCACGTGCCTCCCCAGCCGAGGCGCCCCTGCGGAGCAGGACCAGTACAAAGGGCTTGGCTTCTGGGTGAGCCTCCCCAGCGAGCATGAGGAGAAGGATCGAATGAGGATTCGCGTGTTTCAGCCCCCTGTGCCGCCGCTCCCGTCAATCCACCCACTCGTTGCCTCCTCCCCCCCTCACATCCCACAGACGCCGCCTCCTTCTCCTCCTCCTCCTCCTCCACCTCCTCCCCGTCCTCCTCCTTTGGGCACGCTCGACCTCCCCCTCCTCCTCCTCCTCCTCCTCCTCCTCCTCCTCCTCCTCCTCCTCCTGGGCCCCTGGCCCTTCACGCTCCCCCGCAACAGCTTGAGGTCCTGAAGGCTGGACAGGCCAAACCGCCCAACGAGCACTCTTTGCTTCCTCCTGCGCCTAACGCCGCTCTGCCCCACAGACGGCTGAAGCCAGCAGCTCGCCGTTGAGTCTCGTGACACATCGAACTCCCCATGGCACAGTAAGCGTATCAAGTAAGAAATTGGCCTGCCAGCAGGTGCGTCAGAAGTCTCTTGCATAGCCCACGGTGACCCTGGAGACCCACAGAAGCCATGGGACTCAGGAAGCCCAATGATCGAGGAAGAGCGTGCCCAACGACTTCCTATCGCAGGATTCCCGATCGCACGCTCTGGCGTGACAGCGAGGCGCTCGTGTGATTTTTGGAGCGGATGTTCCACGAAGCGGCCCTCAACGCTGCCGAATCACAGACAGTCCGATCCTGCGTGCCAGCTGTACCGCAGCGCCCCCGAGGCGGGAGGCCCTGCCGCCCCCGCGCCCCCCGCGGGGAGAGTTCACCTCGCCGGGCGTCGCTCGGAGCGCCCGCCGACGTTCGCCGCTGGCCGCCGGTGGCGCGTGGCTGGCCGAGGCGGCTCGTCCGGCCCGCCACGGCCGGCTGCTCGAGGCGCCCCCGCCGCCGCCGCTGCGGGTCCCCGCTGGCCCGCCGCGTGCTGCTTCGGGGTTCTGCTGCGCTGCGGCGGCAGCGAGGCCGCAGCGGCGAGGAAGGCCAGCGTGAAGGCGGGCCCGTCCCTCTACAGGAGGAACATTCAAAAATAATCAGAAATAATGGTCTGGGGGCGAGTCTTTTCTAATCTTTGTGACATGTTTGAATATGTTTGGCTATATTTTTATCATTTGCCCAATATCGGGCTTTAGGGGGACACGCCCGACCTAAGGCGCTGGTGCTTGCCCCCTGGTTGGCGGGATCTCCTGCCGGGCTGCCCTCTGGGGGGCCTGGCGCTGCGCCGGCGGCCGCCAGGCGGCTTGCGCAGGGCTGGCTGCGCGCCGCATCGCGCAGCCCCCCAAGGTCCCAGACTAGGGGGCGCCGCTTCTCGGCGCCTGCGACCACGCATGCCACCCATCATAGCCCATCAACAAACATATGAGTGTGTTTTTTTTTTTCAGATGCAATACGCATCGATAACAGCGTTAGATTTCAATCACGGCAGCCTCCGTTCGTCTTGGATTGAGTGTGTGTATGTGTGCGTGTGTCGGCAAGTCGCGCCCAATACCGTCCAAGGCGTTGCCGCGACAGGAGTTTCTGCGGCCCAGCATGATGTTGGAAATTCCCATCCTTCTGACGAATCCGATGGTGGGCAGACGGCTCCTGCGCGTCCGCCGAGTAATTCGGTTCACCCGTGGATTCCAACAATTCTTTGCCTTAAGACGGTATCGAAAACGATTCCCCGCCAAATGCATGACAAATGGGGCGGGATGCGTGTCTGCGCGGAGTAATATCCATTCAATCCACCCCGATGCTCCGCACATCTTCAGTCATCTCGCATCCAGACCACATGATAATTTGGTCACGGCGGTGTAGCGCCCAGAAGCGACGACTAGTGCTCAAATGACGCCCACTGGCACCCACTGGCGCCATACGAGAGAGATGCAGCATGTCCGCCCTGCACTCCCTCGGACGCGCTGGTGGGCGCCGTGGGGACGACGAGAAGCTCCCGTGAGCTGTTGTCTCACAGCCGCAGCGCTTCGAGCAAGCTGCTCGTGCCTCTCTTCGACCCCCCCTGCTCCACGTGAGTGCACGCGGTCGTGCCGCCACCCGTCCTCGACTGTGTGCCCAGGCGGCCGCAGCTTGCGCGCGCTCGCTGGCCGCGCAGGCCCGTCCCCTGCCCGGGCCGCCGGGCTCGCTTGCTCGGAGGGCGGCCCGCGGCGCCAGCGCGCGCGCGCGCTGCAGGGCCGACGGGCAGGGCCGCGCCGCCAGCGAGGCCGAGGCGGCGCCCCGCGGTGGCGGCCGATGGCCGCACCCCAACGCGCGGCGGTCTCGGGGAGGCGTGGTCCTGGGCTGAAGTCGGGCCTGTCCCTCTACAGGGGGGGATCTTCTAAAATAGTCACCAACAAAAATAGTCTGGGGAGCATGTTGGACTATTTTTGAGCATGTTTGGCGTATTTTTAGAATTTTTTTTGCATTTTTCGTCCAAAATCCCCCTGTAGGGGGACTCTGGGCATTGTTGGAATATTTTGGGGTATGTTTGGGCATTGTTGGGATATTTTGGAATATTTGGTTGTGCTTTTCGTCCAAAATCCCCCTGTAGGGAGACAGGCCCGACCTCATCCTGGGCTCCCCGCGCCGCCGAGGATGGGCGCCGGCGCCGCGGGCTCGCAGAGCGGGCCGCGGCTTCGGGCGGCGCTTCGGGGGCGCCCGCGCGTGGCGCTGGGTTCTCGGTGCGGCCGGCGTGCCTCGCGGGCGGCGGCCTCGGAGCTGGGAGGTCTCAAGAAGGTCTCGTTGCACACGGCCAGGTTCGCGCGTACGGAGCCCTTTTTGTTCGGCTACACGTAAGAGCGACCCTTGGCCAGAGTGACCTTTAGTGTTGGCCCGAATGGGGTCGGACAATTTTTTTTCGAGGAGTGCGCTCGGCCTCGTGTCGGCGCACGCTGCACTAGTCTGCGATCGTATCAGAGCGCGCTTGATTCAGGGTGCGCCCCTCGCAATCGATCGCAACGCACGCACGGTGTATTCTGCCGCGTGCTTCGTTTGGCGAGGGGGGGCCAGTCGAGCGTGCGACGTGCTCTCCGCTTTGGGACTGGTCCCAAATCGTCCTGGAATAACTTTGACTAACTTTGAAAAACTTTTCGCATTCCGCGCTTTACATCTCATTTCTTTACTATTGAAATTTATTTGCGGCCGCGGGCGGGCCAAGTTTCGGCCTGCTTTCGGCCTCGACGCCAGACCTGGTCAGACGTCATCGCGATGCGGCCCGGCAGTGCCAGAACATTCCGCGGTGGCGCCCGATTACGTATGGCTTCGCAGAGCCCTCGGGCGGGTGTTCTGGGGCGCCCGGAACGAATTGGCGGAAGTCCGCAATTGCCTGCTGGCGCCCCACCGATCGTCGATGCAATCCGACGGCCTCGGCTTGCGCGGTTGCTTCAGGCCCCCACGGGGCCCCGTAAGGCCGCGCGCCAAAAGGCACTGTTGCCTAGGGTCACTCTTACGTGTCGCCGATATGTGTGAAGATCTCAAGGACGGAGTATGACAGGCATGGGCGCCGTTCCCCATTCTGTGCGGAGCGACAACCTTTTTGAACGGAACCTGGCTGCAGCTCCCGATGAAAGCGCCCTCGGGCCTGCGGGCCAACGCCCTGCGGCGACGACGCGCGCTGGACCTCCAGGTTTTTCCTCATCCTTCTCCCCCTCCTCCTGGTCGTCGTCCACCTCCCCCACGCGCATTTCTACGACAGTGGAGACCCATGCCAAGAAACACCCTGCTTGCCTCCAGGGTGCCCAGGGGTTCTTGGGTTTCGATGTTTTTGCCATGGGAAGCGTGACGTTCCCACGCCGGAAATGGTATCGACCTCTTCGGATCTTGGGGTTGGGTTTCTTGTGGAATGTTTCTTGAGGACTGTCCTCCACTGTACGCCAGTACGGCTGCGGTTGCGTCTCTGACGGGCCCCGCTGCCCGTCTGCATTTTTCTGTTCCTGCAGCTTCCAGCTCCACTGCGCACCTTTTACTACGATCCTCCACCCCCGTCTCCTCCGCCCAGCGCGGGCTCCTTCCTTGCGTATTTGTTCCTCGCCCTCTCAGCTCTTCGTCACGCCCTTGCGTTCGCCGTTGCTCGCCCCTCCGCTGCCGCCGTGGTCGGAGAGAGCCCAGCCTGCGGCATCGGGATGCGGTAAGGAGGATGGGGGGGAGAAGGGAAGGGCGGCTTCAAAGACGTTGGGGCGGAAGAGGAGCACAGTCAACCCGCATAGTAGGGATGGGCACCCTTCCCAAGGGTACCATCGCAGCTTTCCCGTTGGGCCCATCCTTGGCCGCTTTCGCTGGCCGGGCCCCGGTTGCAAAGGGTCGACATTGCCCTCCAAGGCCCTTGCATCCTTCACGTGCCTCCTCATTATACGGGGTGACTGTAAGCACGGGAAGGAAGGGTGGGAGCAGGCGGCGCGAGGATGGTTGCAACCAGCACAGGCTCCATGCTGAGGCGGAGGGTGCTTTTCAAGAGAGCACGGGGCGGTTTACTAACTCAAAGCAGGCGCCCAATCCCAAAAACGCGGGGGCCAAGACAAAACGCAGACACCTCAAGACTTCGGGGAGGGAGATTTTGGAGTAGGGTTTCAGCAGGGTGACGACGACGAACGCAAAACATACCTCGAAATCTTTGGCCGATCTTCGAATCCTCGGCGAATCCGCGTTTATGGGATTGGGGATGTGTTTCTTCGTGGTCAGCGGTGGAGGAGCAACCGCACCGAGGAGGGCCGGACGAGGAGGTGCTTCCTGCATTCGGCAAGGGCTCGGAGCGGCGATGGGCGAGCAGGGGTGGAAAGGGGGGGCGCTCGCGCGGTCGAGGGCGGGGCGCCGCCGCAAAACCTTCCGCTCCTCAGCGTCGAGGCCCTTCTCCTCCTCCCCGCCCTTTCTCCGAGGAGTATGCAGGGAGCTCCTCCTCCTCCTCCTCCTCCTCCTCCTCCTCCTCTTCCTCCTCCTCCTCCTCCTACTTCCTTTTTCTCCTCCTCACTTTTTGTTCATCCTCCCTTTTTCTCCTCCCTCCCTCCCTCCCTCCCTCCCTCCTCTCTTCTCCCTCATCCTGAAGACGGGGCCGCAGCGAGCCACCAGGGGGATGTCAGCACGTTGTTCTCCCATCGTCAGTTCCATCGGCGAAAAGGCGTTCCAGTCACAATCCAGGCGATTGGTGCAACGTAATGTATACGGCGCGGCCTCTTGATCCGAGCTGTCTTGAGCCAGTGGGCTGAGCTGAGGCGAACTAACTGACACAAGCGTGTGCATATTCGACGAACGGGTCTCTAACTCAGGGTATGGCGCCAAGAGCGATCAATCCACTACAATTGTCAAGCGTCTCTAGATAGTTAGCGCGTCATGCACATGATTAGGCCTAGGCGCGAAGAGCGGGTGACTATGTTGCAAGCGAGAGGCGCATGCCCAGATCGCCGACGAACGACGCGACCTTTTTCAATCTGGCTGTTTTTCATCTACGTCGGCTCCTAGGTCCTAGGGCCCGTCATCGGGCCTCGGGACGAAAACGTGGACCCGAGGAAGCGGTCGGGACCTTCCTATGGGACCGCGGATCGAAGAGATCAGGCCGGCGGACGTCAGAGAGCGCGCCCGAGGGCTCGGCAGGGAGCAGCGGCGCGTGCACGCCTTAGTGGGCCCTGGAAACGACAGGGCCATTTCCATTTTCAAGGGGTATTTTTTGGGAAACGGTGAAAAAACGGCCCTGCCGTTTCCGGGGCCCACAAAGGTGCACGCACAGAGGGCGGAGTTCAAGGCGAACGTCGGCGGAAGGGGGACCCGGAGGGGATGACCGATGTTGGCGTCAGCCGCGCGCTGTGGGCACGTTGCCCGGCGGTGCGGCCCCGAAAATCGCACGCGCACGCGTACGCACGCGCACGCATCGATGCAGGGGCAAACGCCCTTCATGGCCTCTGTGCGAAAGGTAAGTTGCGAATGCACAGCGGGCGGTGCTGCCGCACGGCGTGTCAAATCTCCGTGCAGCGGCGGAGATCCCAGAGGTTTTCGAAGACTCCGATTCGCAGTTGCTGCTGGCCCTCCGCTGCTCAGCAGTTCCCAGCCCGACGCCACAGAGACTGAAGCAGGTCTACCTCATCTGCTGCCTGATCATCACGGCGAGCTTCTCCCTCACGGCGACCTGGCTGTGGTCCGACATGGTGAGGGGGCGCAACAGAAACAGACGGGAGGGAGACCAGGAAAGGTGGGCGCATTTTGAAGCTTCTCCCACCGAAGGGTCACCCAGTTTCCATCGCCAAACCCTTTTTGCCTCAGGAACCGACGTTCCAGGAACTGAGGAGGTAGTGGATACCGTTGGAGAAAATCACCGCCCACCAAACCACCCAAACCCAACCCGAATGCCCCGATTTGCCCTCCATTTCCAGTGGGGGGGGGTCGGGGAACATTCAAAAAATACATATGAAGCCCGTACCCCCCCCAAAAAAAAAACGAGATTCGGGTCTTCGTGTTGGGTTGGAGTGGTCTGGTAGGTAGTCTGAAAAAGTTGCAGCAAGCGTTTGGGAACCACTTGCCTGACCCCCATCCGTCCCCCGGCCCTTCGCGGAGGAGACGAGCTGCGGAAGATTATGAACCCACCAATTTCGAAGGCAAACGTATGTACACGCGTACATTTATCCCAACTTCCTGCTTTGACCTTGAGCGCCGAATCTGTGTGCACACTTTTCGGTACCTGATCTCGCCTATCGCAAGTCGGCCTGTGCGTTCTTCCAGGTTCCCTGTTCAGGCCAGTTGGGTGGAGGGCGCAGAGGCTTCTTTTTGCCCGTGAAGGCCAGGGTGTGGAAGGGGGCAGTGGGCTCTCCTACCTCGGGCGCCGTCGTTGCAGCGCTCTCCTTCCGCCGTGCGGTTAGCCCTGCGCACCCCCGGGGCCCGACAAAGATACCGTGCCACCAGGCGGTGGACATGTGGCGTCGGGGCTGTTTGGGTGAGCGTGTCGCTCCGCCGCTTCGGCGCTCCGGCGCCACGCGCTCTCCCCCCGTCCCAGCCCCGACGCGTCAGCGCCCCGAGCCTTGCACAGCCTCCCTTCCCAGCGGAGCGGGGCGGCACGCTTCCCCCTCGCAGGGCGTGGCGTGTCGCGGGGCCGCAGCTGCGGCACGCTGCGCCCGAGTTCCCGACCGCATCGTCTCTGCCCCTCAGGCACCGCTTTTTTGTTCTACACCTGGCGAATTTTCGGATGTCGTGGGCGGAGTCAGCGGCTTGGTGGGCCCCCGCAAACGGCAGGGCCGTTTTTTCACCGCTTCCGAACAAGTGTCTCTTGAACGTGAAAGCGGTGAACAAAGCGGCGATCGAAATCGGCAAAACATCGGCTCTGGGATTGGAGCCAGAGCAAGAACTGGGTCAAAGACGACGATGGAACTGGCACAGAAACGGCGTCGGAACGGGCAACGAAAACGGCAAAACGAAACGGGTTCAAAAAAAACGACCCCGTCGTGCCCATGGCCCACAAGGGTTAGCGGCGGGGCGCCTCACAGCAAGGCCCGCCTCCCAGAGATCCAATGTCGTCATTTCTTCCATGCGCGGGCTCCGGAAGTCTTTGCGGGCAGTATTTATATCCATATCCAGAGCGTCTTGGACTTTTCAGGAAGGGGTGCCGCAACGCCGAGGCGCACTGGATATGGATAAAATCAAGCCTCTTGGGGCCAGATTTTTATCCATATCCAGTGCGTCTACGGCTTCTGGGGAAGAGAGCCCAAGACTCCAAGACGCACTGGATGTGGATATAACTATTGCCCGCAGTCTTGACCCATTTTCCAGGACCCGCTTTTCATCCTGAGACGTGATTTGACGGTCCCGAGGCCCGGCGAGGGCCCCTACGGGGGCCGAAATCCGCGAAAAGCCTCCGCCTTGATCTCGTCGGTGCGCTGGATCTCGGGGCCCGCGTGCGCGCCAGGGCAGGCGCGTGCCGTGGGGTCGGCCGGGGCGAGGGCCGCACACGCACCCGGCCGTGGCCGCAGATTGCTCTCCGGCGCCCGGCCCGGCGAGGATCTCGAGTGGAGGTACCCGGGGCCCACAGGCCTCCCCTGTGGGGCGACGACGACGACGGCGACGACGGCGACGACGGCGACGACGGCGGACGACGACGACCCCACGCCCGGTCCCGAACGGAAAGGCGTGGCGGTCTGGAGGGAGGAACCGCTGTGCTGCACAAGCCTCAGGTAAGTCGGGCGTGTCCCTCTACAGGAGGAATATTCAAAAATAGGAAAAATGCTCTGGGGACGATTTGTCCATCATCTTCGAGTATGTTTTGATTATGTTTTGGGTATGTTTAATTGTTCGTCCAAAATCCTCCTGCAGGAGGACGCCCGACCTAAGACAAGCCAATGTTTCGCGCAAGGGCTATCCTATTGTTTATTGCAGGTTGCTCCTGGCGTGGCTCCTAGTTTGCTTAGTGCACTTCATGGTCGCCATCGCTCGTCGCAGGGGAGTGCGTTTGTTCCGTGGGGACAAAATCTGATGAGGGTGGAAGGGAGACAGGCGGTCGGACTCCACACATGCCCCGCGCCATTGGCCGCTCCACGCGGAGGGCGCCGAGTCGCTGGCAGACCGATGGGGCATAGTTCTGTTGTTCAGAGCTTCCCTGCGTCTGCCAAGGGCCTTCCTCCCTCCGCCTGCATGCCGGCCAGTTCGCTTCGCTGCCACGCTGGAGCGGACTGCCACGCTTCGCCGCCGACGAACAAAGTGTGTGCCCACGGGAGCCCGCGCCGGGACAGCGATGCTGGCGGTGCGGTCGGGCCATCTTCGTGAGGTCCTCCACGGGCCCCGGGGCCTGAGACGACTCGGGACGAAAGGCTGGCCCCGGGGGAAGGCCCCTGGAGTCCACTGCATGGGCGGGGCCAGGACCGGGACGGATCTTTCCAGAGCGTTCTGCCGGAGGGGGGAGATGGGACACCAACACCACCGGGGTGGCCACCTCCAGCAAGGAGGTCCACGATGCCTCCCCGAGGTGGAGGCTGGGGATGTCTTCGAGCGAGAGGGGGGGACCACACCACCAGAGAAAAAACCCTGGCTCCTCGCATCTCTTCGCGCTGGTGGTGTTGGTGTCGCCTTTCCTTCTTCCTATTCTGGAAGGCTCTCAGCATTCCGGAGAGCCCTGGAACGGCCGCGGCGCCCGATGCAGTACAGCCTCCAGACCCGCCGGATCTCGGAGATCCCCGATTTATCCCGGTCCGATGATGTCCCGCCCCTGGCCTCGGTTTTAATCACGGACCCGTTTCCTTCGGGACCCGTGTTGTTCGTGCTTGCGGATGCGGATTGTTCCCAACCATCCTGTGGTGTTGGGTCCTCGTTTTGAAGAGACGGCGCCCCGCGTTCGCTCGCCTCCTCCTCCTCCTCCTCCTCCTCCTCCTCCTCCTCCTCCCGCCTCCTTACTCCTCCCGCTCTTCCCTCCTCCCCCTCCTTGCCTCTGCTCTCCGCATGTCAACAATCTCGGCACATCCCTCACACGTTTCGTGGCCCCACAGGGAGCTCCACCGAAGGCCCCCGTGCCACCGCCCGCATGCGTCACGCACACCCATCACACCCCTCACACGTTTCGTGGCCTGATAGGGAGCTCCACCGAAGGTTCCAGTGCAACCGCCCGCATGCGTCACGCACATCCATGTCGGCACATCCCTCACACGCTTCGTGGCCCATAGGGAGTTCCACCGAGGGCACCAGTGCCACCGCCCGCATGCGTCGCGCACACCCATGTCGGCACACCCCTCACATGTTTCGTGGCCCCACAGAGAGCACCGAAGGCCCCAGTGCCACCGCCCGCATGCGTCACGCACATCCATTTCGGCACACCCCTGACACGCTTCGTGGCCACATGGTGAGCTCCACCGAAGGCCCCAGTGCCACCGGCCGCATGTGTCACGCACACCCATGTCGGCACAGCCCTCGCACGTTTCGTGGCCCCACAGGGAGCTCCACCGAAGGTTCCAGTGCAACCGCCCGCATGCGCCACGCACACCGATTTCAGCACACCACTCACATGTTTCGTGGTCCCACAGGGACCTCAACCGAAGGCCACAATGCCACTGCCCGAATGCGTCACCCACACCCACTCCGGGACACCCCTCAACGTTTCGTGGCCCCACAGGAAGCTCCACCGAAGGCGCCAGTGCCACCGCCCGAATGCGTCACCCACACCCATCTCGGCACACCCCTCAACTCCTCCTCGCCTTCCCCCTTCCCCCGCCTGCATACGGAGCTCCACCGAAGACCCCGCTGTCCTCGCCCGCATGCGTCACGCACACCGATCCCGGCGCACTCTTCACTCTTTTCGCGGCCCCGCAGGAAGCTCTACCGAAGGCGCCAGTGTCTGCGCTCGCATGCGCCTGCCGAACCTATTTCGGCACCTGTCACGCGCTTCGTGGCCCCACAGGGAGCTCCACCGAAGGCCCCAGTGGCTGCTTCCCAATGCGCCCACCAGACAATTTGTTGCACACCCCTCACACGCTTCGTGGCCTGATAGGGAGCTCCTCCGAATGCGGTGTATACAACGACGGTGCTCACAACTGCATATGGTTGGGTCCTTCGCCATCCTGTGGTGTTGGGTCTTCGTTTTGAAGAGACAGCGATCCGCGTCACTCACTCACTCCTCGCCTTCCCCCTTCCCCCGCCCGCACACGCCACCAACATCTATTTCGGCACACCCCTCGCACGTTTCGCGGCCCCTGTGTAGCGAGCTCCAACGAAGGCCACAATGCCACCGCCCGAATGCGTCACCCACATCCACTTCGGGACACCGCTCACACGTTTCGTGGACCCACAGGGAGCTCCACCGAAGACCCCAGTGCCACCGCCCGCATGCGTCACCCACACCCATTTTCTCGTCACACCCCTCAATTGTTTCGTGGCCCCAGAGGGAGCTCCACCGAAGGCCCCGCTGTCTCCGCCCGTATGCGTCACCCACACCCTCTTCGGGACACCCCTCACATTTTTTGCGGCCCCATAGGGAGCTCCATCGAAGGCGCCAGTGCCACCGCCCGCATGCGGCACGCACACCCATGTCGGCACACCGCTCACACGTTTCGTGGCCCCGCAGGGAGCTCCACCGAAGGCCCCAGTGCCACCGCCCGCATGCGGCACGCACACTCATTTCGGCACACCCCTCACACGTTTCGTGGCCCCATAGGGAGCTCCATCGAAGGCGCCAGTGCCACCGTCCGCATGCGACACGCACACCCATTTCGGCACACCCCTCACACTTTTTGCGGCCCCATAGGGAGCTCCACCGAGGGCCACAATGCCACCGCCCGCATGCGTCACCCACACTCATTTCGGCACACCCCTTACACGTTTCGTGGCACATGTAGGGAGCTCCACCGAAGGCCCACGTGCCACTGCCCGCATGCGTCACCCACACCCATTTTCTCGTCACGCCCCTCACACGCTTCGTGGCCCGACAGGGAGCTCCAACGAAGGCCCACGTGCCACCGCCCGCATGCGTCACCCACGCCCATCCCAGCACATCCCTCACGCGTTTAGTGGCCCCATAGGGATTCCACCGAATGCGCCAGTGCCACCGCCCGCATGCGTCACCCACGTACATGTCGTCACACCCCTCACATGTCGTCGCCCCATAGGGAGATCCAAGAACGATTCCGGTGCCACCGCCCGCATGCGTCACCCACGCACATTCAGGCACACCCCTCACGCGCTTTGTGGCCCCATAGGGCGCTCCACCGAAGGCCCCAGTGGCTGCGTTCGCATGCGCCCACCGCGCACATGTCGGCACACCCCTCACACGTTTCGCGGCCTCATAGGGAGCTCCATCGACGGCCCGAGTGGCTGCGTTCGCATGCGCCCACCACACCCATTTCGGCACACATCTCACGCGCTTCATGGCCCCACAGGGAATTCCACCGACGGCCCAAGTGGCTGCTTTCGCAAGCGTCCACCGGACAAGTTTTGGCACACCCCTCACGTTTCCTGGCCCTATAGGGAGCTCCTCCGAATGCGGTGTATACAGCGACGGTAGTCTCAACAGCATATGGTTGGGTCCTTTGCCAGGCTATTTGTTTCAGGGATCGTCTGTGCGCAGCCGGGACGGAGCCTTACCAGAGTGTGTGGTCGATTATTGGTGCCATTTTGCAGGGTGGAGCTCACACCTATGACCCGCGCTTCAGGGAAAGGGCGACCTCACATTGTCCTTCCTGGACGAGTACACGAAATACAAGTGGGTGTTCAACGGGACCATGGCGGCGGTGCCCCCCGGAGCAGGAGAGAGGAACGAGGCCGCGTGAGGCGCGCCAGCAGTGGCGAGGGGCGGGGGAGGACGGGATCTTGAAGTCTTGCCCCCCCCCCCTGGCGACCGCGTCCTTCATCACAAGATAATTCGCTGCTCAGGCCCTGCAGCCCCCCAAAAATGCATGGATGCAGTTAGTGTGGCTCCGCGAAATCTGTGAGGGAGCACGATGGGTTGCGCTGAGCCCCGTCGGCATTCTCGTTTTGCAGTTTCCTCTTCGGCCTCGTCGTCGTCCTCGCCCGTCTCCTGCTCCACATCCTCAACTGGGTATCATCCATCATCCCTCCCCCGTCTTCCCCCCCCTCTTATCCAGACTCGCGCGTGCCTGTTTGCCGTTCCATCGGTTGCGCCATAGGATGCGCCACAGATGGTGCGGTCGGAAGTCTACCTTCAGTTTTCGCTCTGGGCTGCGCCATGGGTCACGGCATCGGTTGCGTTTTGCCAGCTTGCGTTGCAGGTTACTCCAAAGGCCGCGGGCGCAGGCGCGTGCGCGGGTTCTGAGGTGCGGGTCGCGGGCGCGGGTCCCGCGGGGGGGTGGCGTTTGGAGGCCGCGGTGAGCACGGGTCACGGGCAGCAGGCCGCAGTGCGGGTCTTTGGGCGACAATGGGAAACACTAATGAAGAGCCCGCGTCGCGGACAGCCCCAACTTAAGCCACGCACCCAGGCACAAAATAGGACCGGTCGGCCCTTTCGGCCTCACAAGTCAGTACGCGCTTGTCCGAGCAGGCTTATAGATCCTAGACCAGTATGTAGTTATGATGCGCGCGTCGTACTGTCCAGTCGATGCTGCAATGCTCTGTGGGTAGTCAGCAAGCAGGAGGGACAGGGAAAGGATGAAAGGATGAAACAGACGAGGGGGGACGAGGAGGTGGTGGAAGGATCAGGAGGATTGAAGTGGGGAGGGCCAGGAGGAGGAGGAGGAGGAGAAAGGACAGCAACCGCTGTGAACCGAAAGTAAGTTTGATTCGAGTCGTGTTTGCTCAAGCCGTGTATGGCCCAGTCATGTAATGCGTGTACTTCAGAGAGGATATCAGGCCATCTCCCTGTCGACGTTGCAATTAAAAAATTCAACGAAGGAACACAATGGAGTGCGGCACTGAAGTTGCTCCGCGAAGGTATTAAATCAGGCTTGAAGTTCACCCAAGGCCATTACATTGCGACGATCGGCGCGTGCAGGAAAAGAGGGCAATGGCAACACGCACTGTCTCTGATCAATGAGATGTGGGAGGCGAAGGTTGAGCCCAGCGTCACCTACATTGCTATGCTAGGCGTTCTGCGCAGCTTCTTCCGGGCCAGGTTGCCTCGACGGCTCCGCTCGAGCGGCGATGCCGTCCTGGCCCGTAAGAGCCCAGATGGGGCCCGAGAGAGCCCACAGAAGCCTCAAGAGAACATGCAGACAGCCCAGGAACGCCCCAAAGGCGGGCCAAGAGGTCCCAAAGACTCCCCGAAAGGGCTTCAATCTATGAAAGAGCGTGTTCTACCGCTGCTGGCGGAAAACCGGGGGGGGTCACTACCGGTTCGAACCCCTCCCCCCCCCCCCTCCGGAAAACCGGGGGGGGTCACTACCGGTTCGAACCCCTCCCCCCCCCCCCCCTGCTCATCATGAAAAGGGGGGGGTCACTACCGGTTCGAACCCCCCCCCCCCCCCCCTCCGGATCCGGAAAACCGGGGGGGGTCACTACCGGTTCGAACCCCCCCCCCCTCTCGAAAACCGAGTGGGGGTGCGGACAGTGGCGGGGACGGTGTTGGTGGGGACAGTGGTGAGGGGATAGCGGGACAGTGGTGGGGACAGTGGGACAGTGGGACAGTGGTGGGGACGGTAGTGGTGGGGACAGTGGTGGGGACAATGGTGGGAACAGGGGGGGACAGTGGACAGTGGTGGTGACGGTGGTGGTGGGGACAGTGGTGTGGGGACAATGGGAATGAGGTGGAAACAGTGGGACAGTGGAGGGTACAATGGTGGTGGGGACAGTGGTGAAGGCGGTGGCGAGGACGGCGGTGGGACAATGGGACAGAGGTACAGTGGGGACAGTGGTGGGGACAGTGGGGACAGTGGTGGGAACAGTGGGACAGCTCAGTGGGACAGCGGAGGAGTCAGTGGGACAGTGGGGACAGTGGGGATAGTCGGGCAGTGGTTGGGGCCGTGGAGACAGTGGGGAGAGTGGAACCGTGGTGGGAACAGTTCTGGGGACAGCGGGGACAGTGCGACAGTGGTGGGGCCACTGGTGGGGACAGTAGGGGCGGTGGTGGAACCAGTGGGGACAGCGGTGGTGAGGACAGTGGTGCTGGGAACACCAGTGGGGGATGTGATGCGGACGGTGGTGGGGACCGGGAGTCGTTTGCTGGCGGTGAGTAGGGGGGGGGGGGGTTCGAACCGGTAGTGCCCCCCCGGTTTTCCGGATCCGGAGGGGGGGGGGGAGGGGGGAGGGGTTCGAACCGGTAGTGCCCCCCGGTTTTCGAGCGGGAGGGGGGGGGGGGGGGGAGGGGGTTACTTCGTGTCCCTGGCCTCTCTTCCGTTATATCTTGAGTTACAGTGGACTTAGCGAGACTTAGCGCAACTGTTTACAAGTTTCTTAGGACAACTTGCGTAGTAGTTGCTATCCAGAAGCAAGTCCACCGCATATTTTCATAAGGTATCATAAGTTAACATAAGTTAACATAAGATTACATAAGTTTCAGTAGCCATTTTGGCTCAAGTTTCAGTAGCCATTTTGGCTCAGATGCGCTATGACGGAGGCCCGTTCAGCCAGAATCGTCGCAGCATTGCAGGCAGGCGGCTTGCACGTTCCATGCCGCGCCCTCTGCCGCATGGTGAATGCCTTGCAAGAGGACGACGGCAGTGACCACGAAGGCAGTGCAATCCAGGGGCATCGGCAATTACAGGACCAGGTCAATGAGATCGGCAACCGCAGCACGGATTATGGCCGAATGATAACCAACATAGCGTTGCCCCGCGAAGACGGTGGCGAGATGTCGGGGGATATCATTAACCCGTTCGCAGTGTTGTCTGTAATGTGCGAGGAGTGTTCATGGTTTGCGAGGCTTCTCCACGATTCCGTCGGCAGTGGTAAAGCCAGCCTGGTGGTGTGGGGAGACGAGACATCGTCGGGGAACCAGCTGCGGCCTGACGCAGCAAACAAATGGCTATCCGTGTATTGGACGGTGGTAAACCTACCGTCATATTTCCGATCCTCGGACCCAGGGTGGATACCTCTCGGCGTTCTCAAGTATGACGATCTAAAAGCAGTTCGTTGCCAGTACAGCGGCGTCATCCGATCTGCACTGCACCATATGTTTACCCAGCACATGTTTTCGTTCAGCGTGGGCATCCGTTTGAGAGACGGACGCGGAGGCATGTTTTTATTTTCTGGAGAATTGCGTGCCGTGCTGCAAGATGAGAAAGCTCACAAAGAAATGAAATCCACCAAGGGGGCGAGCGGATCTGTGTGCTGTTCTTCTTGTAAGAATATATACAATGGTGACGCTTCAAAAGTGCAGGGACATACATATATACGGCACTACGCTGCCACGCCGCCTTGTGAGTTCGACCTCCACACAGATGAATCGTTCTGGGAGCTGTGCGATAAGCTTGAGGAGCAAAAGCCTTTGCTGAGCAAAAAAGATTTTAAGGTTTTAGAGCAGAAGGCTGGTCTGCGCTTGGAACCAGGGGCTTTGGTGTTCGACAAAGCATTGCGAGGCGTTTTCAAACCACAAAGCCACACATATTGGGATTGGATGCGCATCATATGTGCAAGCGGCGGTACTGCTCAGATCAATTGCAATGAACTGTGTTTAACATTATTGCAAAAAGGCGTGACGCTGGAGGCGTTGGATGCGTTTCAGAGACAGCTTTTGGCCGATCAGAAAATCGTAAGAAAATTGCCGCTGCGGCTGTTCCAAGACCGCGTCGTGAACGCGCACGGTCACCACATGAAGTTATTCGCTGGGGAGTGCTTGACGGTGGTAACGGTCCTAGCTACGTTTGCCCGTGGCTCCCTGGACGTGGAGTGCCCGCATAGACGGTGCATGCAAGTCCTGAGTGACCTCTGCGATCTTTTAACAGCTGGTGACGACGCGGCGCCGAAGACAACCCAGCTCGCGACCTTGCTCTGGCAGCACCACCCCCTCATGCTAAATACTTACGGGGGGGGCGTCGTGCAAGATCAAGGCGCACTTGCAGCACCATGTGCCCAGGTGCATCGCCCGCACTAAAGCGAATCTAGATAATAGCCTTCCGCCCTCCCACCCACCCACCCCCCCGCCCCCCGTCGGGTTCGCGCGGATAAGGTCGGGTCGACGGGTTCTAGAACTTGGGCCCCTCGCTCGGGAAGGGGCAGGCGGAAGTTGTTTCTCGAACGAGAGGCGCAATCGGAAGCTGAAAGCAGTTGCCAATCCGAATGTCCAGAACGCATCCCGCCAAGTTCTCGTTAGGCTTCTTCATGATTTTTTAGACATGATGCGGTCTGGCGAGGGGGGGCATCCGTTTTGTTTGAAAGAGCCCGTCGTGGACGCGTCATGGATGGCAGTTCACTTTTCCCCGCTGGCGAGGCCATCCCGCGTGCATCTGTCTCGGAGCATGCGTTGGCCCCGTGGTAAGATTTCGGTGGGTGACGTGTTGTCTGTTCGCGTTGCCGACGGCATGGTCGGCGTGATCAGGGTCACGCGCTGTGCCGATGCGCGTGTCGATCGAGCCCCGACGATTCCACACTGTTTCGTTATTGGCGTTGCGTGCGCCGAGGTGCACAATGGCGCGGCGCCCGCCGACGCGCACGCTGTCGAGTACTGTCCTACAGACAGCTTTGCCGTTGCGGAGATGGCTTGCGTTATTAACAACCATATACATTACAAAAGCAGGCGTGGATTTCGAGTACTGTTCAATTATTCTTGTTAAAGCGTTCCCGATAAAGAGCACCTTTGCCTTCGCCCTACCCCCGCTGCCCAGGGGGGGGAGGAGGAGGGCGACGACGCCGAGGAGGGAGGGCAGAGAGGAGGAGCACA